CGGGCTAAGGACAGGCACAGAGACTTCGACCGTACGGTTGTTCCACTACTGCTATACTGAATACTGAATTCTGTATTATAGAGCAAGTAGAAATGGATTCTGTACAACTCTTTCGAAATATGGCGAAAAACGTTATAAATTTGTCAACCGTGATTATCATTATCGTTCTCATGTAATATTTAAAATACTCGACTTACGATATTTCAGGATTCACAAGTGTGATATGTCATCGTAAGTGTGCAGTCGTTCTCTGAAGCGAATAGAGGCAAAATACAAATCTAACGACGTTTTGAACTGCTGCACAGACGTTGCCTCAATCACATGTTCGGGCAAACTGTTCCAAATGTTTACCACTCTCCTTTCGAAGCACAGTGGGTGGGGAACACATTTCATATCCGGCACGACAAGTTTGTATCTGTGTCCGCGTGTGCTGCATGGTCCTCGTAAGTGCAGTATTGGCCTTAGCATGGGGAACTCACCAAGATGTAGAATTCGGTAGGTCATAATGAGGTCGACTCGCACCCGACGGTAGGATAAAGTGTAGAGCCCTAGTTTCTCGCACCGGTCTTCATACCCGAAGCCACGTAAACTCGGGATGAGCCTGGTAGCAACGTGTTGGACCCGTTCGATCTTTTGTGCCTCGCCTCGGGTAATCGGAAAGTAGGCGGGCGAACCGTACTCTAGCATTGGTCTAATGATAGAAGAGAACAGGCGAGTGGCAACCTCTTCAGACCATGTTCCGAAGCTACGTTTGAGCGCCCAAAGCATGCGCAGTCCGTTCCGATATAGCCTGTTTGTGTTGTCCACGGACTTCAAATCGTAGCGTGAGAGTACACCTAGGTCCTTCACGGAGGGTGTGGGATATAGCGTTTGGCCGTCAAGAGTGTAGGTTCGGCCGTTAGCACCCTTCCCCAGGCTCATAAATACGGACTTGGCTGGGTTGACCGGGAGAAGAACTTCTGCAGACCATGTGGATAAGCGGTTGAGATCTTGCTGAAGTAGGCCACAGTCATCGGGAGCGTCGATTTCTCTCCAAATCTTCATGTCGTCCGCAAACAGGGCACACGGCGACCGGAGAAGCTGCGGTAGATCATTGATGTGGATCAGGAACAGAGTGGGCCCCAGCACAGTGCCTTGAGGCACGCCACTTGTAGAGGGGTACCAGTCAGTTAGATGGTCATCGACCTGTACTCTCCACTTTCGTCCAACAAGAAAGTCGCTGATCCACCGGTGCAGAGAGCCACCGACACCACACATGCTGAGTTTGTGAAGGAGAACCTCATGGCTGACCTTGTCGAACGCTTTACTGAAATCGATGAATATCACGTCGACGGACTTCCCCTTGTTTACTGCCTTCAACCACTCATGCCTCGTCACAAGCAGGTTCGTAATGCATGAGCGACCTTGCATAAAACCGTGCTGTGCGGGCGTCAGGACCTCTTTTGACTGTAGCAACTGCAGCAATCTCTTCTTCACGATTTTCTCAGCAACCTTTGCCAAAATAGGTGTCAGACAAATTGGCCTGTAATTGTCTACTTTGCTAAGGTCGCCGCCTTTCGGAATAGGCTTCACCACCGCACATTTCCAGTCAACCGGCAACGAACCTTCGGACAGCGACCTGTTGAAAAGGTCAGTCACGACAGGAGAGAGGATTTTTGAAAGTGACTTGAGAACCAGTGGGTGAAGCCCATCAGGTCCGGCAGGTTTGGTGCCGTCAAGGTTGGCGAGTAGTTGAGCTACCTCTTCAACGCCGCATTGCAGACTATCGAGTTCGGTAAAAGCGGTACACGTCGAACTCGGAACAGACACCTGGTTATTCGCAAATACAGAAGCGAAGTGCGCCGCCAACGCGGACGCACGCTCAGTGCTGGAGGTTAAGGGCTGTCCATCCGTGCCATCCAGCACTGGCACATCACCTGCCGGCTTCAGGCGTCGCTTCACGTATGCAAAGATTCTCTTTGGGGCGGTCTTCGCGGCTAATGCGAGCTGCTCTTCAAAGTGTCGGCGTTTGTTCTTTTTCGCACTGTTGCAGAGGTTCCGCTGACATTTATACCCTTCGTAATCATTCGCAGAGCCAGAGAGAAGGAATTTGTCCCACAGTCTGCGACGCCTCCGAGCCAGGTTTCCATACTCCTTATCAAACCAATGAGGCTTAATAGGTCCAACCTTTCGACATTTCAATGGCACAAATTGGGAACACAATGATGTCAATCTCTCTTTTATAAATATCCAACAATCTTCCACAGATGCAGCTTGTGACAGAGACCAATCCAGTTGGCTCGCGGCTCGAGCTAGACCATCGAAGTCCGTTTTCCAGTAGTTGGGAGCTGGTTGCAGCGGATGTGAATACGGCAAAGATAATTCCATATCAGCTATCAGTACTGAGTGGTCGCTCGTAGCCAGGGGCTCCAGGATCCTAACGTCACGCACTCGTTGTTCGTAGCTCGTTAACATCAGGTCGAGACAGGACGAGGTTGAACGTGTTGATATGCGTGTTGGCTGGCATATGTGTTGCGATGCACCAGTTTCAAGTACCAAATCCACGAACTTTGCTTCAACCTCACTATGTCCAGGCATCAAATGCACATCAGGCCATCGTTTTCGAGGACAGTTAAAATCGCCCATAAGCAGAAAGTGTGGACGACTCATGTGGGCTTGAAGATGGGGCAGCCAATCCAAACAACGACTCAGGGGACTGCGATAAACTGCGCCTACAAGCAGTTCTCCGCGCCTGAGACGGATGGAGCACCACAGTAGCTCACACAGGCCATCGTCACTTCGGTAGGTGCTCACAAGTCTCCCACGCAGGGAGGACCGGATGTAAAGTAAGACACCACCGTGGGCATTCTTTAGTCTATCGCATCGGAAACACGAGTAACCTTTGAGTTCAAGTTCTTGGGTGTATAACTCTGCATGCAGCCATGTCTCTGCGAGTCCCACTACGTCTGGCCGCTCAGACGCAACGAAACAACAAAGCTCATCGCGCTTATTCATAATACTGCAAACGTTTGTGAAGGCTACTCGCAGACCGCAGCAGGAGCCGCCGGGCGTGCTTGAAGTGTGAGCAGCCTGTTTATCCTGATTCGCGGATTGTTGGAAACCACCCGAAAATTTATGATACGAAGATTTGTTTCTCCCTCACCAGTGCGTCTTTTCAACTCAATGATGGCAGACTTGAGCCGCTCCCGGTCTACTGGGTCCAGGTCGGGACGAACATGGATCTTCAAACCTTTCAGCCTACTTAGACGAGACATGATCAGTCTTGGACTGGCTTCGTCCACAAAAGTGATTCTCATAGGCCGATTTTGTTGATCACCTTGCTTTCCAAGACGGGTAATCTGTCTCACTTTTACCGAGTCCTCACCAGCGTCGAGGAGTTTATCAATTAAACCCTGTAGAAACTCGACATCGTGATCGTAACGCACTTGAGGTGATGGATCATTGGACTCCGGTGCGTGAAAGATCACGAGATTATAACGCCTCTGGTCGGGCGAGGTTGGCCTTGCAGGGCGAAGTATACTACCAGCCTCACGTGGTTTGGCTAACTGTTGACTAACAGAACGTAAACACCCAACGTTCCTTCGTAATTTCGTCCTCTGTTATATATATATATATATATATATATATTACCCACTACATCGTTCATACTGGCTCCAGGAGACAGTTGGTCGTTGCTGGAGGGGAAGAGGTGCACGGTTCTTGTGGCCGTGCTAGGCTCAAAGAGCGGTTCCATGCACTCAGTGTGGAGCGGACTACGGTCCAGCCACCGCCTTGTGTGCGGTTGATTCCCCAACTACAGCGTGCTTGTGTTTGCCTGTGAAGCAGTGTGGGCCGGCTCCGTTGATGAAACGTGGTTCCCATCCGCATGCCTCCCGGTCTTGTTACTTCGGGTTTACACTGGATATGGGGTATGTGATTGGAGCTGTGGGTGTTGCAGCGCAAGCCATCCATGGTCCCTCTGTAGGCGCAGCCGTCCTGTGGCTTGCCACAGTGACAGGCAAATCCGAAACCGGATGCCGCCAACCATACATATATATATATATATATATATATATATATATATATATATATATATATATATATATATATATATATATATATATACGGAAATTGTATCCAGGCTACTCCCTTTTTCAATCTTTCTTCGCCACTGAGCCCTTGCGATTCCCTTTTCTGATGGGTTCACTGAGTGGCACTTTTCAAGTGTCTTTATAGCCTCCCATATCAGATGATCCATTTGCTGAAAGTCAGGCGAACACATTCTCTGCGCACTGTTCATACGATGTTAGTCGTTTGGTCTCTGCTTTCAGAACTCAACCAAGGGAGACCCATGTGCACTGGTTATTAGCTTATCACAACAGGTGCAATCAAGAGCACCATGCTGTTTGTTATACAGTATATCACCCTCAAATGAAACCTCGCACTCCATTGAGCTGATTGCTTCATATGTGATTCGCCTGTTAATTCGGTGCATGAGGTGGACTCCGTCATGCGCTTGCTATGTTGTGAATGACTTCAGGCTTCAACATCTACCCCAATGCAAACAATGCATTCGATAGTTCTTCTTCCATTTGTCGTGACATTTGAGCTTAGGGCAACTTCAGACCTTATTGCATTGTGGCTGCATTCGATACAAATTCTAATAGTCGGAAGTGTTTTATACAAAGGCTGAAGCTTTCAGACCCATAAGGTTTCCTAGCGGTATTAGTTTATTCTGTTGCTCACACTAATTAGTGAGGTACGTCTAACTCTTTGTGGCATGTACGTTAAACTTTTAGCGTTGGCCTCATCTTCTCGGAGACAGATGTGCTCGATGTCTTCTTTATGGTGAAACAGTGAAAATTGACATGGCGCCGAATTGAACCATACAGTCTTCGGTCCCGCACCATTTTCTCGTTAGTCCAAATAATGTCAAGCCTCCGAAACATTTTATGCCGCCCGTTTCATTATTCTTCCGCCATTTTCTTCTACTCCCTACCTTTAAACTATTCCTTTCGAAGGTCCTTACTCCGGCCAGAACGCTTTCCATCCTGCTAATAATAATGCAACTTGTGTTACGGACGCTAAAAGTCGTGCCGGTGACCTTTTCTCCGGTGCACTTGAGAGAAGCTGTTGCGAGCCAGTCGTAGAACCCGTTTCCACTGCGGATAGTTTGGCGGCAGAAAAGCAGTCTTCTAAATGTCTGTTGTCCCAAAAATCAGAACCAAGCGCGTTGGAGAAGATGTCTAATTTAACTCGTTCATCAATCTGCGGTATGTCGGATATGTTTTCCCATGTAACCAGCTCCTTGATCGACCATATTGGAGGAGTTGCGCATTTGGCCCAACCGGTGAGCCGGCTGCTTTCAATAGTTTCCGATCGTCAGTCTTCAACTCCTTCGTTCTCAACGGATTATCCCAAATCCTCTCAGTCAGTCTGTCTCACAAAACATTCATCGGAAAATCTGATGGTCCATTCGATGAGCTTAATCGAATCGGAATCATCTTCCAACCATTCTATGGATCGCTCCGTTGAGGCGGATGTTTGGAAAAGCTTGAGTTCCATACAGGATGCCACGATTCCTGATACTTCGGACCTCTTAAAGAACCGTGCTGATGACCTCTCCGACGACAAAGAGAATGTCGACGTATACCAGGTACTTTAGTATTTTGGCGAGAAATCTGTACCTCATGTTAACCGTTACTTTAAGCCGTTGGGTGGTTGGTATTTACAAGGATTTATATGGTTTCAGTTCAGTTCCGGATGCCATTCTCCCATATCCCCAGTGTTTTGGCTAGTACATATACCTCATCATGCTATTGCAAAAGATCCTAATTTTGGGCTTTTGTCTAAGTTTTTATCAGAACATCAACAGTACGCCGGTATGCACTACCAACGCTTCGCTGCCGCACAACCACAACCAGTCACGCGGGGCTAAGGATACTGCGAGTGTCGCCCGGTCCAATACCTAGGCTCGAACCCGCGACTTCAGGAAGACCTGTAATCCCTAGGGCCACGGGCCGGCAAGGTTAATGCGATATCTTTCCGCATTGCGAGCGTCTGATGGAGGGTTTGATTTCCTTTACACTTGGCGGGGTGCATGTGCATAACCTCGGCATTGCTTAGCAGTTCATCCATTAACATGAACCATTGTTCACCACTAATATATCTGGAGTGTATGCGTCTACATATCGGATTAAATCTGGAACAAACTTGATTCGAACTTCAGCCAGATTGATCAGCTTACGCACTACTTTCCCCTTGATTAGTTGATGACATCCTAAACTAGTGCTCCCACCTTTCGTTTTTCGATGCTTGTCTTCAGGGAATCTCGGAAGTGCTCTAACCAGCAATTGTGCGACATATTTGTTTAAATTTGTTTTCTAGCTTGAACTCCTTACCCAATTACCTTCATGTATCTTGTGACGTCCCATTCTTTATTTTCCTCTCACTAAGTCTGTGGGGCGGTCTCAGTAGTCTTGCATCGCATCGTCATCAGCGTCCACCCAATCCGCTCTACATGCACCACGATTGTTTCAGGGCTGGCTCAGGCACTTCAGATGGGGTTTTTATGATTGTACTGGTTCACGTCATTCGGTGAAATAACATATGCCGCGTACACCGCAATGACACACTCATATCTGTGACCATTCGGTTTAGGATGACACTGCCATTTTGGCCAACTGTGTACTCTTCATAGTAGAAATCATGCACAATAGTCGTACGCAGTACGGTGGTTAGGCCTCTGCTCTCTCCATGTTGGAGTCACCATACGAGTTTACCGCTTCCATGAGGACACAACTGCCCTGTAAGTTTGGGTACCAGGCTGCTTGCTTTTGCATGGCAGCGTATTATCAAACACAAAATCAATTCCTTGCTGGCGCATTTTAGAAACCGATTTGGTGTGACATCTTGAAATAGGTTTGCAATCGATTGATAATTGATGATTTCTGAGTGGTTTGAAAATAACTGGTTGAAATAGGTGGAGGATAGTCTTTCTCTTTTGACAAGCTAAATGAAGCAGCGGCTGCTTAGCGTAGCATTTACAGAAAACTGGGACGATAATAGCTAAGACCGAGATGTGAGTTGGAGGGTAACCGAGTTACTGATGGAAGTGTCATTTCAAGTGGCACATTATGGATGAAAGGGTCCCAAGTGGTTTACTTTGCAACATTATCACACGTAACTCTCTGTCATTAATGGGGATAGGGATGGTTTGTACATCGCTCTCTGCCACTGGTCTTCTAGATCAGACAATCAATGGAATGGCATTCTTCTTTAGCAAGTCTTATTTCTCGTTTTAGAGTGTACTCAGAAAAAAGGTTTTGTTATAGGACCACCAATATATACCATATTGACAAACTTGTATATATGAAGATTTTGTAGGAGGGCCCTGAACAACTGTAATAGTGCGCCGAACCTTTAGTGGCGCTACGTGGATCACATGTCTGATCATCAAACAAGTTGATAAAGATGAGTTTCTAGATCATTTGTAGTCTATTATTGAGGCTATACATTTTACGATGGAGTTGGAAGCTTGACTGCTTACTTCACAGGAATCTGAGTAGTCTAGAAACCAACCATATTACGTAAACCGACGGACACAGGTGAAGTACTCTATTACAATTCATGGCATCTGAAGCACTTATATGCAGACGTCATTTCTTCGCCGTTTCACAAAGCTTAGACCCTGTACATTGAGTAAGAGTATAGAAAAGCCGCTCGGAAACAGCTAATACACTTGTTGCTGTTTATTGTACACCCGAAGCGGCTGGACAGACGTCATTTGCAGTTTCTAAACCCACATTCACGGCGTACCACGGTGTGAATTTAGACAGTAGGGACCCCTTATAATGAATAAACTTCACAAACTATCTGGGGGATATTGAACCAAAAATAAGGGTGGTTTTCCGGAAGATTCAAATGCTTGTGATAACCAGCCATCCGAAAATTTCCATTTAATATTAAGAATCCAGTGAAGCAATCACTGAACAATTAATTCTTTACGATTAAACTCACCAACCGACTTTTGCATAATGGTGTTACGTGTTAGATCTTTTGAATATTGATTTTAATGTTTATCTCAAACGGCCACTAGAGGTAGTCGTGCAAATTGCTTTCACAACCAAATATTAGGTGTGATATAAATCGAACGATCACGTAACGACAGTTGCAGTTCCCATTGTAGAACCAAAGGGCGCACAAATCGCTTGTGTACGTACAGCCAGCTTGAGGCGGCGGAGCTAAATGGCTTCCGCAATAGATTGATATTTCCGGAATCCGCGTGAGAATCACTCGGGAATAAAATAGATGACTCTGAGATCGTTTTCCGAGCCGATGTGATGGTACCCGAGGAGGTGCTATATCACGGAGCTATTGGTGAATTTCTCTTCACCTTCGTAAAGCCGTTTCGGAATACGTTCGCGTATCCTGCACCCCTGAAGCATGAGTACTGCTCGAGTCAACCGAGGCAATCCCTTCCTCAAAGTCTTGTGAGTGAAGACTTGTTGTAATAAATTACGAGTTGACGAGCCGCGAAATAGTTCTTTACGACCGTTTGGACAAGCTATCAACCGCACTGTCACCTTTGAATGTGCAAGGCATAAAAATTTCTATTTTGGCTACATCATCCTCGGTAGTTTTCTTTACCTTCTCAGATATTTTGGGATGAATTCGTCCGCATGCCCATTTGCTTTTAGGACATAGCTGATCCCCCGCAATTCCTCGGTAACTGTGTCCGGCGTGCAAATAAGGCGAACCGGAAAGACAGAGTGTGGACTAAAATCCGCTTGTGCCGTAGCGTAACCGCACTATAAAAGTTGGTGTGCTGTGCAGTTCGAATCAGCATTCAGCCCAATTCGGCACATCTAGCATGACATCCTCATTATGTTACAGTCTGGGTCTGATGCGTTTTACCGAAAAAAATCAGACGCTTCATCCGTCACTGGTGTATTTCAAGAACTCACTCTATACAGATAAGACGACCAACTGCGTCTCCAAAATTTACTGCAAGGACTGTGCACAACTATACATGGGCCAAATCACTAGAGCGCTGCGCTCGAAGTTAGCAAAACGCTACACGCATTTTACGCTCACTGAGGAACGAGTTTGAATACATGGCTCTACACTAAAAGATTCCGCGGTGGCGATGCACCCGTTAAACACAAGGCATGCAATCGATCTGGTTAATGCCATGATCATTAGGATAGGATTGCGATCAACACACCAATGCTTAACTTCTAAGGCGTTGGAAGTCACCAATGCTAACGTCCGCGTAAACAGAATGGATGGGGTGGAGTTATCGAATGTGTGTCAGGCTTTCTTTACCCAACCATTCGGAAGAGCGTCAGCGGACGGATTTGGGACAGAGAATGCACATCGAGTCACTTCTGCCCCCATCAATGACAGGGGCTTATGTGTGATGATATTGTAGAGTAAACCACTTGGGATCCTTTCATCCATAATGTTCCGCTTGAAATGATACTTCGATCTGTAACCTGGTTGCTCTCTAACTCACTTCTCGGTCATAGCGATTATCGTCCAAGTTTCCCAGAAATGCTACTCCAGTCACTCGTAGGTTCGTTTGGCCAGACGAAGCTGTTGTGTCAAAAACAAAGCGTTGCTCTCCAACTACACCATTTACCGCAGTTTGATGACCAACAAGCCCCCTACCTACATCTACATTGGGTGCAGCAAAGCCTACTTTTCACGCGGGGCTTAACGTCGGACTTGCGACACTAATGATTTTGTGATTAAGGCATGACCGAAACGTAGCAGCCATTGCCCGACGAACCATGTCCTTTTCAAGGTGTTGTGCATCACCTCATAACGGCATGTGAGGAATTCCGGTACTCCTTACTCCTCGATATGTCAATTACTTTCAATCCATGATGGTCGGCCATCGTTCCCCATGGCTTAGCGGCAGAAGCTGCTGGCTAGTGGTAATGAACCCAAGACAATAAATTTGTTGATCGCTGTTTACTCCTTGGTCTACTCCCGACATTTTATCTCATGGAGCGAGAAAGTAACAAGCATATTTCCAGAGAACAAGTATCTTATACTTCGCACGGCACACCCTTCGATGCTCAGAGAATGACATTCATTTTTTGTCACCCGTTACTTCCTGTTCTGAAAATTATCAAGATTATTCGTAACCCCGATCGTTAAGTTAAAAGTAAGCTACCCACTGTGACGAACAACCTGACATCCTTACACTGTGGTATTTCCCTACACTTTGGCAACTGCAGTCCTGATACATAGCAGGGCAATATTCGTCTCGTCTTTCACTTTACGCTGCTCCATATTGTACCATAGGTTACACCGGAATATATGGTTTTATCCTCCGGTTATCTAATTTTTACGATATAGTAGCAGTACAGTAGTGCCAATGCTGATTTCTGTTTCACAAAACTTTTGGCATAAAGTGCTCCATCATTTTAGTTTGCGCTTATCTAAAAATGTTCTCCTTCTCTTTTTGAACCACATCTACCCTACAGGTTTGGGGTATGTTCATCACTTTCGTTACTTGCACATGAATAATAGCGTGCAGCAATCTCACCGTTCTCCCTTACACCTTTTTTGCTGCGCACATTCGAGTATATGTCAGGTGACAGTGTTGCTAATTTATGCGAATGACCGCTTAACACAATTACTATCTTGCGAATTTTTTATCGCTAGTTTGACGATCAACTATCGCTACCGCGTCTCTCGCCAAAATTCACCTTATTGCACATGCTATCATTGGTGATGTACCCTATTGCCTCCGTAGTTTTTCTTGATTTTAAAACCGTGTGTCTATCAAGAGTGGCACGATATTGATGGCATCGCTCTCTATGGCTCAGTGTGCAATCTGTACTTCGTTTTTTCACCTTACTTAACAAATACGGATTGCATTAACCACTACTTCACACGGCCGGATAGTCATCAACGTCCCTATAAATAACTGTTGGACGTCTTGATTTTCTAGCACTCGCTAACGATGCGTATTCTGTCCGTCCCATGAGAAATCAAGGTTTTGACCCTTGCACTTGATAAAGTAGAATACGCCTTCTTGTGCCACAGACTTCTCAACCTGATGTCAACGTAATCACACTTCACTTGCTCATCTTTATGGACGACGTTTTACGGTTCTCCTATCTCTTCCGTGTGTGGTCTCATGACTGCCTGTGTTTCTTATCGTGCGATTCCCCTAACTGCATCATCCTATATCATACTGCTCGAATCGGTATCTTCCGCGGTGTTCTCTGTTCGTCATACAGTTTTGCATGTTGTCGCTTTGTGGACTGCATCTCATCAGATATCCATTCAAATCAGTGCTTATTAGATGTTTTTCATCTTTTGGTCTTTGGGCTACGTCGCGGTTATTGATGTCCACAACCCTCCGTTTTCTATTTCTCCTAGACTGATATTAATCAAGTGTCTGGACCGAGAAACGCCTCGTTTACCGGCCCATATGGTGATGTATCTTCCTGTATTGCTGCGAAGGACGAGGTCGAGTCGTGCATTAAAACTGCTCGAGAATGGGGCATTTTACAGGAGGAGGTTTGCACGTTGCGAGATACCATCAACGAACTGAGGTAACCTGCCTGCTTTTCTCTACCAGCGATTTCCGCTGTGGTGATTCATTACTTCCACATTAATGACATCATCAATCTGATTTAGGATTTTCGGGTTTCATTTGCATCGGGGCAGTCGCTTTTGTCTTTTCCCCTTTTTCCAAGCTTTGCAATTCCTTAATATCGTTTGCCTCATGGTTTTCTAAGGATAACAGTGTCACTTGTCCTTCCTTCGAAATGATTTGCAACCAAGTTGCCCAGCTCGGAAAACTCCACAACAACTGAGTTGTCCTACCTTTTCTTTTTTTAAAAACCAACCCAGCTTCTGATTACTGTTTCAGCACGACATCCAAAGTATGCAAATGTTCGGTGAAGTCCATTAACCAGGTCATATAAGTATGCACATGTGTGTGGTATGTCCTTCACCAGTGCCGAAAATACGCTGAAAGATAGCCGCGCTCCTACGCAGCAACCTTCTCGGTTGAATCGATTTGGCATGATCTTAACATCATCCGTACCTCTAGTCAACGAACGATGGCCCTCATCGATAAGCGATGAATGCGCATACGTATTACTTGCTAAAGCCAGAGCAGCTTTTCAGTGCTATCTGCTGTTCTAAGGAACTAGCATGATTATCATCGCCTGCGCACACCACCTTTGCGGATGCTCTGGGACCATCGGACACCATCAGTGCTTCGAAGGCAGCGATGTCTAGGTCCTCGGATCGGAGGGACCAAGTCTCAGTCTCCTAGAATAAGACGGCCCTCATTGTGATCTTGTAAACACAGCCGAAGGAAATCCATTTGTAGCACCGCGGATTCAAGAAGGTAGTTCTAGCTTTTGTAATACTTGAACGGGCTTCAGTTATGCGCCCATCGTTGCTGGTGCAGCTGCCTCGAGTTCCTCCGTATCCAGGGTCAAATGCTCAAGTACCTGGTGGTCTTGCAAAAACACTGCACTTTGAGGATACCAACCGCATGCCAACATCAGTGCAGTATCGCTTGCATGGTCAAAATCAGCTAGTTTTTTTTTTACCATGCAGCGTCTCAATGTCTGCATCGGGAGATTCCGCACGAACAGTCTCGTTGAGACGGGAGTAATGACGACTGACACTCCGCACCTCAGAGCGGGAGGATTTGTTAGCAGCTGGTGTGCAATCAACTCCAAAAGGCAATTCCGCTTTCTCGTCCATCATTTTCGCATGTTACTCATAATGCTCTCATGCGTCGTATTCAATTGGCTCGAATGTCGCCAAGCCTTGTACATCAACGGCCGTGCACAAAACGATAATCATCTTGGCAGCAGGGGGCATGATGCGAAAGTCAGTCACTGAACACCAACATTTTTAACTCATTGGTTGCATCGAGAGTGTGCGACGTCACATAGCTAGTTGTGGTAGCGGCGAGTAATTTGCTTAGATCTTCAACGCTTTAGCGTTCACTCCGGAAAAACCGGGTGTATTTCAGCGTTTTACTATCTGCCCTTAGTTGATGAGCTTACCTAACACATTCTACATATGTGATTCATGTTTTGAACCGCGTTTACATTAACAGCGATACACAAGCCCAGTTATCCTCTTCGAGTTGTGGTTCGGTGGCACTTTGGACTTGTAGCTCTTTATTTTAATCATGCATACCGCCTATCAGTAAACACACGGAATTTATTTAGCAGTTGTTCTAGAAGCAACTCACCGTGTTTCAATCTGTCTGGTTGTTTTCGCATACGAACTGAGTCGGACCGCGGAGCGGTCATATCCCCCACGTACTCTATGTACGGACTGTCATTCTCTCTCACCAGTGTCAGTATATGGTCCATGGATCCTCTCCCGGCCTGGTATCACTGGTTTTCATTGATGCCTACTCTGTCCCGATCGATCGCCACAAAGGAAATGCTTGTTGTTTGTTTCCAACACTGTGAAAAATCTTGCATGCTATTCTCTCGAAAATAAACTTTTGGATGTCTAACCGCATACTTATTATCTGCTAAAGCACAAGACAAAGGAGAAGCAGTTATTTCCGATGTTTTTGCATTTGCGGTTATAACCAAGCAAATACCAGGATTGTTTTCATTGACTTAATTAATTGGAATGGTTCATATTTTTGTTCTAGGCTCTATACAGCAGCTATTCCTCGTTTGACTTCTGCGATATTTGTGCTCCCCACAGTGAAATCTTCGCTGTGCGGTATCAGTGCCCATTAGATTGCGAACTATGGATTAATTTATTTCGATAACAGTTGACTGCAAAGCTTCATTTCATTCACCTCCATAGCTACAAAAACTCAGATGCATGATGTCGAGATAAGCGTTTCAACGCCCTTAAGTATTCGGTTGTGATGGAATAGGACGGATAAACTAACCACTGTTGCGCTCCCACTGATTACCAGCACGAATAAAGGTTGGCTGTCACACTTACACACTATAGATCGTTTCGATCAGGTCAATAACGGGCTAATGTTGCGTCGATGGTGTTTGTGTCTGTGAGTGACCATTAAAGGATTACGTCCTTGCTTCGTAATCCGGTCAGCGGTTCGAATCCGCGTAGCTGCTGGCAACCATCGCGCGGCTGGTGTTGGTTGCATGGTAGCCAAACGTCTATCATGTGCCGGCGCACTGCTGATGCCTCCTTTTCTGGTGTTTGTACCTGTAATAGCCATTTTTATTTATCAATCGCTGGTGGCTGCGAGCTGGTCCAGAGACAATCCAGTATGCATTCGTTGTGTCCTACAATACTTCCACGTTACCGGTCTCTGTACATTTGAATCGCCATTCTCTTATCTCCGTTGCGGTTAAGTCGCATCACAACTTGCTTATTTCCGGTGGTACAAGCTTTTGCTGTCGGTTGTTGTCCTCTTTCCGGCACATGTTTTCTGTTTATGGGCATTTTCCGGCTTTTACGGCATCACAAAAGCGATTCCAGTGCTTGAATCGATACGTTGCTTAAGAGGCCCTTTCACTATTCAGTACTTAAGTCGTTTCCGAAGTTCATATTACATTGGTGTCGAATCCAGTGTACACCTTGTTCGTTCATCTTAAAGTCTGATATTCTTTTTCATATTCATCTTTTTACGTCGTTTACTTTATACTCGAATTCTTTTCCACCACTGAATGCGCGGTTGATGTTCCATTAAGCTGCTAAGTCACGAGAGTTTACAGGACATGGCTCGCGACCGACACCAATGGCGCGTCTGCTGCCGACTCTTGGTCAGACTGACTGTTTAACGTATGTTTGGTGCTGAGTTATCTGCGGGGTAATGGCTGGTTATGACGCGGGGCAGTGAAACCCACAAGGAAGCTGCCTCGCCGATGCCGCATAATAACCAGCTGTTTGTGGCGGTATGTTACTAACACAAAGTATAGGCGCCTTGACCCTGAATCTTTGCTTAGGGCATTAAGGTCGAGGGTTGAAGGTTGACCTAATCATGACGCACCGGATATTACATCTGAGTGATTAACCCATGTTGAGACAATTGCTTCATCTGCGCACACCAAGCAGCACGCGAGGATACCGGTACAAACTTATCGTACCGAAGTTGAAGCGGGTAGCTCACCAACTCTGTTTCGAACGTAGAGTGGTGAATTCCTGGAACAACCTGCCGCAGCCAGTAATAGAGGCGAATTCAGTGGCCGAATTTAAGAAGCTTCTAGACAAACACTTTGCAGAGGCAAAATATAAAGAACGGAACGATAATTAATACGTTAATGTCCAAGAGCGACAATTGATGCAGCTACACAGAGTATGCTCTCCTCGCTGCTTCTAATCAGTATCAGTATCTTATTATTCTTTACCCCATAGGTCATGATTGCATGGCAGCAAAGTATCAGTTCATTTGACTGATGTACTGCTGTTGTTGATCAGTCACAATCGACTTTGACGTCGTAATTTGATGGATCAGCTGAATCTGTTTGTACACTGCCGTTACCTGCCTACATTAGCTAAGCCGACGAAATGCGTCCGCTCATTAGCTATTCGTTCTGAAAGATCATTCGCAAGCTAATTTTTTAGACCATCTTCCGCGTTTTTAAAATCCCATAAATCGACATCTTTATGCAAGTGAATTCATCCACTTCTAAGTTTCTTGTAGACACCGGGATAAAACGTTTCACTGTTTTCTTAGGTCCTACGCAGTGGATAGTAGACGCACAGATCAACTATTTTATTACTCTACTAATATGCTTTCATGGATGTCCTTTAGGATTTCCTCACCTTCGATTCATTTGACTGCAGCTGTTAGTGACACCGATTACTTGTAATAGCGAGGTCAACACCTTTCCTTTATCAAATGGTAAACGCATTAAAAATAGAGATTGTTCTCAATTTTTACTAAACCTGCCAGAATAGACATGAGGAGCTACAACAATATCTCTCTCAGTTCCTTTCTATCTATCTATCTTGTTTGACACTTTCATACGCTTGATTTCTTCCATCCTTCTGATTAGTTCAATCATCTCACAATACGAGAAATCCCTAATGGAGTTTACGGCTTCGGAACACAACAGGAAGACGGTGGCCACTGAGCGCATTCTTCGCGTAGCCCAGGAAAGAGATGAGGCATTCGATCAGGCTTCTACCATGTACAAGGCGTACGACGACATGGTACGACGAATTCAGCGTGCTCAAGAGACCATCGAAGTGAAGAAAAATGTGAGTTTTATTTCTATTCGGTTCTGCTCATCATTTGAAATATACCCGGTTTATTAAGCTTCCTCACCTTTATGCTTAAAAGTCGATTTTGCACCATAATATTATTTGCTAATTGGCTCTCACTGAACACTAATCCGTGTGGATGATGTAAATGGCTTCATCGGATCGAATTGGGTTCAGGGTTTTTAACTTTTATAATGTAGCACAATTTTTCGACACCGCTCCACACTCATCTAAAAGGCTAACTTGTTAAGTCACCGAGTTCTGATTCGCTTCTAATGAGGGCTTTAATCAGTTGTCTTATACCTAGCCATATCATCATCATCATATCATCATACTATACGTTAACTGGAGGTGGGAAACACCTCAGCTACTGTGCCGCAATACATAGAAAAAGGAGAAAAAAAGCAACTGGTGCAAGCTGGCTGAGCTACCGGTAACGGATGGGCATCGTTCCGGTGAGCTACCAGCCGGTTACTATGCATCAGAAAAATTACTATGCAAAATTATATAAGGCTAAATAATGAGACCGTGGTTGGAGGGGGAGGCTTAGAGGGATGGGGTGGGACAAAGAAACTCACAGCACGAACGCCACTGAGGTCGGCTTCTAGCCATATCAGCAAGTGTCTCCAACCAAACGTGTTCATCGTCTTTCGGACCCCAACCAGGGAGTCGAGACGCTCCCACCGAGGCCAGCTCAGAAGTGAGGGTCTTCATTCCTCTGGACCAAGTCATCGCTTGGCCACTCCTTCTCTTCTTCCATCCACACCCCCGGCGCGCAAACAACACACGTCGCTGAAGTCGGTGGGCTGGCATGCGTAACACGTGGCCGAGCCATCGGAGCCTGATGCGTGAAATGACGGTGCTGAGCGGTTCAGTTCCTTTTCCTGTGAGGTAAACGAGGCGTCGAACACGCTCGTTGCTCACGCGGTGTTCCCACCAGATGTGAGCTAAATTACGAAGGCACCGGTGGTCGAACGTAACTAGCCTCTTCAGGTCCGCTGCTTTAAGCGGCCAGGTTTCACAACCGTACAATAGGGTCGAACGTACTGCTGCATTGTACACTCTACCCTTCAGGGCAAGAGCGATGTCGCGCCGGCGCCATAAGTGGCGAAGGTTAGCAAAAGCGCCCCGAGCTTTTGCTATACGATTCGTGATCTCATCTACAATCCCACGGGCGCTGATACAACTTCCCAGGTAGTTGAATTTTTGAACGACTTCTAGCTGATCCCCATCAAGGATCAGCGTAGGAGGCGGTCCAGACCAATCTTGGAGAAACGCTTTGCACTTCGAGGGTGCGAAGCAAAGCCCGAAGGGACGGACAGCTAGTGCTAATCTGTCCAGTGCCGCTTGGCACGTTTGTGAGCTGTCACAGATGAGGGCAATATCATCAGCATACTCTAAATCAAGAAGTCGATCTCCTGGGAGTAGCTCCACACCTTCTAAGTCGTGTCCTATAAACGCGATTTCCATGACTTCGTCAACAGCGAAGTTGAAGAGGAAAGGTGACAGCGGGCATCCTTGTCTCACACCGCTGGAGATATTGAAGGGCGACGACAACTTGCCGTAAGCCCTCAATCTGCCCGAGCTACGCGCATATAATGCTCGGATAATATTCACATATTTCTCAGGTACACCTTTCCTGAGTAGACAGTCCCAAAGTGCATGTCTATCCACAGAATCGAATGCACCTTTGATATCGAGGAACACGACAAGGGTGGGCCGCCAATATATGTGACAGTGCTCCAACAACTGACGCAAGGTGAAGATGTGGTCAATGCAGCCACGACCTCGACGAAATCCAGCTTGCTCTTCACGAATCTGGCTTTCGCGGTGCCAGTCAGTCTGTGAAGGATGACAGAGGCAAGCAATTTGGAGGCGATGGAGATCAGACTGATTCCTCTATGGCTGCCGCATTCCGATCGTGAGCCTTCTTTGAAAATTGGGACTATGACGGAGCGGCTCCAATCGGTTGGGACAGTTTCCTGCTCCCACAGTTTGACTAGTAACTCGTGTAAATCATCCACAAGAGCAGGTCCCCCGAATTTGAAGAGGGCTAGAGGAAGGTCATCAGGTCCCGCGGCTTTGTTTAACTTCAACAGTTCGATCTCACGTTCGACTTCTGAGCGAGAGGGTGGATCCAAAGGGACAGCCCAGGGAGCGGTGCGATCAGTGGCCGGTGAGAAATCTAACCATTCCGACCGATTAAATTGCCTTTCAAAGTGCTCAGCCCAACGCTCTAAGCGTTTTGATAAGTTGTGGATAGGCTGTCCACTCTCGTCACGTATAGTTTCACTAACACCAGGTCTCCTGCTGCCCGTTTCCCGTATCAGACGGAATAACTTACGATAGTTACCAAGGGCAGTGGCCATTTCCATCTCTGATGCACGATGAGACCACCAGGATTCGTGGTCTCTCTTCAGGCTAGCACGGAGTTTCGCCCGGAGCTCTTTGCGAGTTTCATTGTGTTCAATTCCAGCCGGAATATGCCGGCGAGCATCTATAAGTTCCAGAGATTGTGAAGAGACCCAATGTCCATGTTGGCGATTAGACATACCACATGAGGATTTGCCTGCTGCTGGTAAGGACTGGTGAATATGAGACCAGTGAGCTTCAATTGCATCCAGTGAGCGTTTATCCAACTCGCATGACAGCGTAATTTGATACGCATTCAGAACAGCTGGCTTCGCCAGTTGGCCGGTGTCAATGCGCTCACAACATCGTCGCGGGCGTCCGCCAAAGCGCATCCGCAGGTCAGCACACACAAGTGCATGGTCGGTGTCCACACCTGTGCTCCAAATCGAGCGACAGTTCTGGACGCAGCCTCTCCAGCGGTAACTGATAGCAATGTGATCGATTTGCGTCCATAGCTGGTTCGAGGCTGGTGGGCGCCAAGTCACCCTCCGGCGGGTGCTGTGTCGGAAATTAGTGCTCGCAAGAAATAAGCGAGCATCCTCACACAAATGAAGTAACCGCTCACCATTATCATTACGGGAGCCTATACCATGTTGGCCGCCCAGATGCAGCTCATCTGTGGATAATTTTCCAACTTGAGCGTTCAGATCCCCAGCCAGCACTACAGTGTCCGAGCTTCTTCTGTGGCGAAGGAGCTCGTTCAGTTGACGATAGAAGTCGTCTTTTACCGAGTCATCACTACAGTTTGTCGGTGCATAGGCAGCAATAACGAATAGACACCTGTTAGTCCCACGCGACTCCGAAGTTTTGAACGAGCCAGCCAATCGGACCGTACACATCCGGCTACTGATTGGAATCCAATCAACCAGAGTAGCTTCAGCCCGGGGACTCAGGGCAATACCAACACCGGATTGGCCGGTGCTCGAAGCTGCATCGTCACCGGATAGGCGCAATGAGAAAACACTGCTTGCGTCACCTGAAGGGGATCGCAGAGTGAGTACAGAGCTCGAGTCTTGCAGGCGGGTCTCCGATAAGCAGCAGATATCGATCGAGAGGGTCTCTAATGTTCGGGCAAGTGCTGCCTGTTGACCGATCTGAAGCAATGTGCTAACATTGAGGCATGCCAATCTGAAGGAGGATCGAGGGCTCCAAATGGAAGCCGATGAACTGGAATGGGCCGCTTGCTTGGACATGGGCCTGTTGACAGTGCAGGAATGACGCTCTGCGTTCACCTGTGAGTTGAAACTAAAAGACAAGCGACTATTGAAGCAAGGTGGGGGAGGGCCGAGAATTGGAGGTTGAAAACAGGGGGGATATAAGTAAAGTTGGAACGGGACGATAAGGGTGAAAAAGCGCGATAAGGGGAATAAGAAGACGGGAAGGCCTGAGCAGTAGCATCTAAACCCTTATCCACCCTGCCCGATGCAGCAGATAGGGCACCGTTGATTATCCTCTGCGGTGGCCAGAGCATCAAGAAATTGTTTGAGGAAAGATTCATTGTATTGCGTGGGCAGGATACTGTCAGGTTGCCCAGGCCTAGACAGGAGAACGATTAGGGTTCTCAACCAAAGTCTTTGGTTCAAGAACCTAACCGCAAGGCAGCAGGTTTGGCATTGTGCTACAAGGAGTCCGTTTTAAGGAATAAGGAGCCACCCTCATTCCAACCCCCAAGCTGGAGGACCAGGAGGCTGAGTTTATCTGGCCTCTAACCATTGACCAATCTGGTATGAGTGGCTCTGATGGTGCAAAAAAGCGCCACCCAGCATAGCTCAACGGATCACTGAGGCACACAAACCATCGCACCACGGTAAGGTCCAGCCCCATTGCGATGGACCTAGCCATATTGCAGGATGTCCAATTTACATCTCACCTGCAGATAGTGCGATGCGAGTTTTCACGCCGCTCCTAACTCCATCAAATGGTCCTGATTGCCCTGGAACATAAGAAATTACATCGCTGTCTAGTTATCTCTTTTCAGTGGCTAAATACGTTATGCGCAATTCAATCCATTGTAGGATTCTGTGCTTTCGAGAACTATTCTGCGAGCCACTCCACAACACATATCACAACGAATTGACCCTACTTTAAGTGTACTGATTGAAATGAATGTTATCGCGATCACGTTTATTGTTCTCGGAAATGAGATGTCAAGTCCTTTCGGGATCCACACTCTAAAGACAAGTAACTTACAATTCTTCGTTCGTCTTTGTTTCTCTGATCATATCTAGGTAGATTACTTTTCACTTACTAGGGTAAATGAAAAGTGGCGGTGGACGCTTATGGATACTGCGTGACGCTCCTCTCACTAAGCATTTTACTGCTAGTCTTGAGAGGTGAGCAGTGAACAGGTACAAGCTAATGCAGATCTATCATCATAGTTCTATAGTAGCTGGGATTTCCATACAGTCGTGTTCGACCTCCGGAACCACTCCAAAAATGGCGGCTTCCTCTCCTCCTCAATCTCGCAAGTGAATTTCAACGATGAGTGAATGTTGTGAAATTGATTCAACAGGGGAACATGATCAGTGTCAGAGTCCCAAACAATAAACGTATCATCTATGTATCGTTTGTAATAATCAAGGAATGCGATTAGGTGTGATTGGTTCGCATTCAATTTTTGCGAGAGAAATGTCCGCAAGCAGCGGTCCTAGGGGCGATCCCATTGACACTCAGTCAATTTGTCTCTAGTATTTTCCATCAAATATGGTTGCGAATGGTCCCCTTCTGCCTACTGGCGCAATTGCTTTAGGTGCCAAGATCCGCGTAGATTGTTCAGGGTAGTTAACAAAGAGTTCAAAGTTGGATGTGGAGAACCCACTGTGTGATTGGATTGCGACACGCAACCTCTATTGAGACTTTGGTTCACTTTGAGGTAGACCTCGGTCATTCCATTTGCAAGGACCGTGTTGGGAGGAGCAACACCGAGTTACTTCCAAACAAGGAGATCCCCGTCTGTTTTATGTTACCGCGGCTTTGGCGACTGAAACCAAGTTTATGCAAGTAGACAGATTTTTTGTATAGCCTCACCGTACCTTAGTGGGTTCAACGTTCGTCTTCCTCCAGCCGAAATGCACGTGAGCTCAGCGACCGCCAATCAACTGCATGTTACCATTCGCTGTATGCAACTTGTGTGTTGGCAACCAATGAGCATACGCAAAATAACTGAATTCGTTTTATACCGTTGAAATGTGATCCATTCTTGTTCGCTTACAAGTTAAATTCAATACTCGTCCTCTTCTATGCGTACCACATATTCCTTCTCATAGTTTTCGGATGATGGCGCTTGAGTTTGCTGTGTCTGGGACGGTGTGTGACACTCATTGCCAACTTCAATGCGGAATATTGAATGTTCACCTCTCGCATCACTACACATGCCACGATCCATTTCATACCCATTTGCACTCTTCAGGCAGAGATAGAGGAGACTGCGACTTGACTTTCGGGATGTCGGCTTAAACCTGTGCTGCTGACCCACCGAGTCGCGGAAAGCAATCCATACTACAACTGTTGATGACTGTTTGGGGGTGTCGTTTTGAAGCACGCATAGTGGGAATTGACTGCGACGCGCGACCTCAATCTGGACCGCGATTCACGTTGCGCGTCGCAATCCATTCGCATCACACATGCCTCAAAATGATTTCCGCAGCCAAGCCGATTGATTTTGAACCCTGTTTCCATTTCCGTCGACGCTCACGCGACTCAGCTTGTACAAGACTCGCGAAACTGTAACTGCTACCAGTGGTGTGTTTGTTATTGCCTCAACTACGAGCTACCTTTTTACCGCGCGTCCTGTGGTTAACATCCGTGGGTACGTTTGATTCGGATGCGGAGTAGAGGTCGTAACTCAGCCGTTTTTATCGATAACTCCTTATGTTCACACCACAGTCGACTGGTTGCGCCTTTACGGTGTACGCAAAGTGTAGGCACCTTGATTGCTCATTTCCGCTCAGGCATCTCATTATACATCAATGCCCGGATCAGAGTTGCTCAACCGAACCCGCGCTTCGTTGCCAGGTTCATTCATCGTTTATTATTAGTCAGCAGCATCGTGACTATTGCTTTAGTCAAGTCAAGTCAACCGTGCGCTTTATGCATCCATGCAGAGTGAATATTCAGCTACAACACTCGCTAAGGGCACAATTAAAATCAAATAAAAATATGACAGATGTATATGGTGCGCCACCAGTTTAAAAATGTGGCAGTGGCGTTATCGTCGATTCAGTTTGGCAATATGGTCTTGTTTGGTTACATCTTGATCCCACAGAAAACGAAACAAATAGGGAACAACTGACGTACCATAATCCCATCCTCTATCTTTAGCGCTACTGTCTATATTTTTCGTTGTCTCTCCAGAAGCAGATGGCCGTCCTAAATTTGTGGAAGCAGTATGAGAGGAAGTGTGCTTCGTTTCGTGAGAAAATGCAGAATTTGTACTTAATCTCAGTGGACCGGTTGAGCCAAGCACTATCAGAACAGGACCAGCAACGCGACTTTCTCACGCGCAAGATAGACAGATTGGATGTTGAGCTTAAGCAACACCAGGTTAGGAAGTCGAGTCTCTTGGAACAGATTGAGCAGCTGGTACGTTGGTTTGCGTTGTATCTTTCACTCCTTGTCTATCACAGATGTTCTGAACTATGGCGCTTTTACTCCCACATGAAATCATTGCACATTGTTTCATCTCTCATCGTTACTTAGCTCTGTGCACACTTTCGAGGCCACTTGTCTACTCCTCTATCAATTCTGTACAGTTGTCAGACGCTTTGAATTCCGTACGCACATTTGCCGCCATGGCTGGCGTCCGTAACAGCATTCTGCACATTAACCATCCTATCTTGCCCGGGATTTAGTACCAGTTCATTCTGTTGTCTAGTATTTATTCGGGGAATATTTGTTTCTGCTGGAGAGAATATCACGCTCTGTTTTCATCTCTCTTCTGGAGCTTACCGCTGCAGAATGATAGCTTTTTCGCGGCTTTCGTGTTTGGTACATAACTTTTCTGTTTCGGCAGAAGTGAATACTTTTATGATCGTGACTCATTTGTTGTGCTACACCGAGTTATTGTCCTCACATTTATCGTATTAAATGGGTATACTTCGCGAATTCTGTGCTCCTTCCACTCAGCTCTCAACCTTTAGACCGATTTTGCATTTGGCATCAGGCTTACGTTTTTCAGACCAACGGCTTTGCTTCGCTATTTGTACACACTATGTTCAGCAGCACGGGTTACTTGCTGTAGCACGCCCGGCGCCTACTCTCCGCAACAAAGAAGCACCTATCTTCTAACCTTCATACTTGAAGTTTGAACTGGCAATCTGCTGCTCAACAACAGCATAACGAATTGGCCCAGCAATTATCAGTGATGAAAGAGGCTGATGAGCCTTATGCTGACTGGGATAGTCATGAAGAATGCCTTTGACGCCTGTTGTCCCACCCAAAGCACGGAGACAGGCTCCATTGGGCACTGAGTTTCAGCTTCTCCGTGACGACCTGAAACAATGGCTTACAATGGGCATCGTATTGACTGGTGGGCGGCAACGGTCCGTGAGATGTAGAAAGCCAATACTATTGGGAACATCAGAGTGCTATTCCAGCTCATCCGGAACACAATTTCGAGAAAGCTATCGGTTAGAAAAGCAGTAGTTAAGAAATATGGATAGTCCATTCTCGTCCACTAGCCCGTTTTGCGGCGTGCACTATACGCCGTGGCTGCACCCATTCGGGCGAAACCGCGAGGCTGCCAATCGATGAGGTGAACTAGAGGTATGAAGAAACTGACTGAGACATAGTCAGGCTGTGTGCCGTCTCCCCGGATGGTCAACACCGGTGGTTGGAGGCTATGAGACATGGCTGTGGCGTATGACACACCATTTCCAATCCGTGTTCATACCAGCATCAACCAAATACGTCTATCTGCCGATTACCCACTCCCAAGTGGCTTGGCTTCAGTTACTTGATCGATGCTCTGCACCCGTTCTGGCCAGCTAGTCGTGTTCTGTAGTCTTTGCGTCGTTCGGTTTCGAACCATTATTGCGTTCGCAGGCTAGCGTTACTTCCGCACGAGTAGACTTTAACAATAGCGCATTCAGTGGCATTCCTGCATTCGATTTCCTGAATATAGCAGTTAACCTTCAGTTCCTCCAAATTAGTTTAACGCGCTCCCTTCTTGATTCCACTTTTCTATTCCGTTTGCATCCAACCTCTTCTTGCCGTGGTTATTTATCATCATTCCGGCGACGTAACTCGTGGCAACTGGATCCACCGCACTTCGGTGCCCGGTTCATAGTTCTTTAACCGACTTGAACTGCAGCTCATAAAGCGTTTCAGTGGCACAATGAAACGAGCTCGTGGGATAACGGTTCAAAAGGTACCAGTTTTCATTGGGTTACCTTTCAAAGATGGCAATCTCATGTAACTCCCGCGAAATGGATACCCTACTGAATTAAAACTGCGAATTACCGCAGAGCTACCATTGCTCATGTCCACAAGACCACTACTTAAGTGCCCAGCGAAGACATCGGTGTCGAAGCAGTGCACATTTCGTTATACAAATTCACGTGACTGTGGACACAGCTCTTTTGGGCGCACTGATCGGAACCTAGGTGTCCGAATCAATGAGCACACTCCAAAGTGGCTCCGCAAATGTTTGGAGCACAGCGTGGTTGCACCATGTGGCTCCAGAAGCTAGATTGTCTTAGTGGTGAACACCGGTCACCAGATATACCCCGATGCATTAATGGTCCTCACGCGCAGTCAATGGACTCACATCATCAAGCTCGTCGAGACCGTTGTCATCGATCGAGAGCGTTCACCTCTTTGGCGACAGTAAGCCCTCCGTGGTAGCGTATAATGCACCACATAGACGAACAGCTGACCATCAATTGATTTCATGTGATCTTATTTGATTCCTTAGTTATTTGCGTGCACGTGGTGAAGAGAATACACGAAGTAACAGCGTCATCCCACAACCTTCATCTTCTCATTTCATATTTAGTTTTGACAATGGTATCTTCTATACCTTTTCTCAGTCAAGTGTACTCACAGCGTTTTCAAATTCTTCCTTATGAAAGTTATGGTCTTCCATAGATCTCTCAAAATGGTCCTTAACATTATAAAATTGCAACCATCATTACTAAAAATGCACACTCTCCACTGAGTGACCAATCCCAAATCGGCCAAGAGAGTAACAGATAAGTGCACATAATGGAATGCTACTGGCTTTTTTGGGATTGGTCACTCAGTGTACAGTAGCATTTAGTGGCGGCCTCGCCTGTTAGATGCAATCGGACAATGTTTGAGATCATCTTGGGAGATATGTGGATGTGAAATTGAGTATCGCTATGGGTGCAATAGACTGAAATAAGGTGTAGTTTCGGTTCAAACGCTGTCGCAGAGCAGGGCGCGGCTCCGGCCCACTCGATACCTTCATATTTAAGTGGGCAACCTCATTTCATTCACTTCCTTTCGGAGGCCTTTATCCTCCCAAAATCTGGCATGCATCGACGGGCTCACTAGGTTACAAATTCGTTAACAGACAGCACTTGTCCGAACATTAGCAACTCTATCAATCTATATCTGCTGTTTATCGGAAACCCGCCTGCAAGATTCGAGCTCTTTGCCATGTTTACATGCGATGCTGACGACGCTTTCTCATTGCGTTTGTCCCGGGACAACGCATCTTTAGATGCCAGTCAAGCCAGTGTGGGCATTGCTTCGAGCTGAAGCTGCCCTTTTTGATTGGGCCCTAGTCAAAAGCTTGATGTGTATCGTCATAGTATCCGGCTCTTTCAACAGGAACCGTTTGTACCCGCGCGACATGTGTGAAAACGCTCGTCTATTCCTCGCGAGCACTAAATTCCAACATAGCGTCCACCAGCCGTGGATGCTGATCGATCAGTTACCGCTGGAAAGGTTGTGTCCAAAATTGTCGCTCGATTTGCAGCACCAGCGTGAATTACAACTACCCTCTTATGTGTTCCGATCTGCGTGTGCGTTTCCGCGCATGTCCCCAACGACGAAGACATGTGTTCTGAATGCGTATCAAAGTACTCTGGAATCCGGGTTGAGTAAGCGCTAATTAAATACCGAAGACCACTGGTCTCACGTTCGTAAGATGTTGCTGTCGATAGGCATGTCTTCATGTGGCAAATCAAATTGCCAACCTAGACTTTTGGTCTTTACGCAGTCTCTGGAAGTGAACACATTGAGACTGAAAGATGTCGGGGCAAAATTGTATGCTAGCAGGAAGAGAGACAGCCTAGCCTGGTTGTCTCACCGTCCATCGGAGATGGAAACAAGCACTGCCGTTGATAACCATTATAAGTTATTCCGACTGATACGGTAAACCAGCATCAGGACACCTGGTGTTAGCGAGGGTGGACATACAATCCACAGCTCGTCAAAACGCTTGGACTGTTGGGCCGAACACTAAAAAAACATGTCAATCAACCTGAGTTTTCATCTTCCTTTTTGGGCATTGATTGTCCTTCTTCCTGGACCGTCCCCTTTGATTCTCTCTGCAGAACTCGGTGAGTTCACTGCTGATGGATTTCCTCCAGTCCTTTCAGGGATCATCTCACCAGGCTGATTCGGACAACTGTAGCTGTAGGAGAAGGATACTGTTCCAACCCCTCCGCTAGTCCCAATTTTCAAGGAGTCTCACTTTCGGGATGTGGCAATCACAAAGGAATCAGGGCTGATCCCAGTTGCGTCTAAATTGCCTGTCCATCGCGCTCCACAGGCTGGTTGGCACCCGTGAAAGCCAGATTTGTGAGGAACAAGCCGGGTTTCTGTCGAAACGCAGGCTGCATTTACTACATCTTCACTTATGTTAGTTGTTGTAACACCGCCATATCTATTGGTGACTCACCCTAGTCGTATTCCTTGACATCATTGGTATCTTCGGTCAAGTGCTCTTTAGCACTGTTTCCTCAGAAAAGATGTGCGCGTACGCTCAGAGTGAGGGTTAAAGTCAAACTGTTGCCGCCCTTTAATATCTCCAGCGGTGTGAAACAGGGATGCCTGCTGTCACTCTTTTTCACTTCGCCATTAACGAAGTTATCGAAAATGCGTTCACCAAACACGACTTGGAAAGTATGGAACTGCCTCCAGGTGATCAGCTTCTTGACTTCGATCACGCCGATAACATTGCCCTTATCCATGTCAGCTCACGGTGCTAAACAGCATTATGGAGATTAGCATTGCCTGTCAGTCGTTTTGGTCTTGGTTTTGCACCCTCGAAAAGCAAATCTCACGTCCACCATTGGCATGGACTGCCTCCTGCACTGACCTTCGGTGGAGATAAGCTAGAAATCGTTGCGATATCCAAATAGCTAGGCAGCTGTATCAGCGCTTGTGGATGAGATCACGAACCGTATATAGCAGAGGTTCAAGGTGATTTTTTAAAACTTCGCCACTTGTGGCGGAGGCGCGGCATCACTCTCAACCTAGAGGATAGAGTTTGGAGCTGCCCGTTCAACTATACTGTAGGTTTGTGAAACCTAGCCCATTATATCGACAGATGCAGAGGGGCGCTTTCTCAGTTGGGATCACATCTAATGGGAACACCGCGTGCGCAGTTAGCGTGATGGTATCTTGTTTATGATGCAGAGAACAAAGTGAACCGCTGAGCCTATTTATTTTATGCAAGCGTGGTAGCAAAGGATTCAATAGTGGTGGTGCTTCCCGTAACCGACAACATGTCGTACTCTGTGGGCATCGAACTAATGGCCTGGTTTCGTTGAATCCCTAAATCGAAGTACTACAGGGAACATTCACTAGTGTGTCTGGTGCTGATGGGCCTTGGGAATCGTCACTCGCGCTGGCATGCAAACTAAAACTACCTTTCTCATATTCGTGGTCAGTAAGCAAACAAATGCTCTTGAATGTCACATACACGGCATAGTACACCGATAGTTAGTGTTTGCCGACCTCGATATCTGTTACACCACGTTTGTTGATTAACTTACTCGTAACTACTGAGCCTTTATGTACCATTCATTCTGTGCAAACCAGCTCACCACGACTGCATCATGCAAATCTCAAGAGATATAACTCACCTATTTTTCATTTCCTTTTTCATTTAGCAAAAAAACTCCGAAGAACTTCGCAAAATGAATCAGCAGCTCTGCAGATAACACCTAACTGCCCTGGCTCCGATCTGTGTATACATGTTCCTATTATCTAATTGTAACCCCTACACCTTTGGTTCTGTTTTGATTTCACATTCACTAGGTGCATAGAACGCAGCAAGCTGTAGCTTTTATAACCCGTCGCAGCATCACGGTGCATGCACTGCGATCTTATGTAAAGTGCTCGTCGTTCTGGGATTAATCTTTTTAAATCAAAAATACTTATTAAGATGTCACGAATTTGGCCTTCAGTAAACGAACCGATCCGATGTAAATCTTGAAATACACCACTATTTAGGGAATGTCTTAAAACGATCGGTTGTTATTGTGGGTTCATTTTCAAGCACTTGTTGCGATTCACTAAGAAGTAGGGTCTTAGTTGTTAACGGTTTGCCTACTGGTAAGGTTTCGCCTCCGGTGCGAGTGCATTAAACCAAGCGAACGAATGGATAACGGGTGTTGCAAGCTGTTATCTCGATTGTTGCAGTACGGATGCAAGTGTTCCAACTGCCGTATTTTTCATGTATGAGTCTTATTCAGTGAGGCTCTTCTTGCATTGAATGCGGCCGCCGACTGACCGGATTAATAATGCTCGCCACATACCTGATACCTCACTAGGCAGCTGGTTTCGACTATTTCCACTACCCCATTTGGGGTGTTGTTCCCCAATCCTGCCTGTGATCTCAACATTATTCAAGTTTCCAATCTCACATCTGTACTCGCTTTATCAGCCATCACACCTCAAGAAGAGCATTAGGCAGCCGTTTCATTCTATCAGGACTCATCAACAGTGCGCGTTCCACCTACTCTGTGGAGGGTCACAACCACAGCTCTTTGCTTTAGAGCAGGGGTGCCGAAAGTCCGACCCGAGATAACCTTTTCATGGCCCGCGGCTCCATCATAAAATAAGAAATTCAGGCTTGGATATTTTCATACATATGGTCAGACCTATTTTCGCCTCACTAAACGTGGCTCTCCTTGCAAAAACTTTGGACATCCCTGCTTTAGAGCTAGTGGTCCAGAGTACCGAGCTATGGAGGATTGGCAGCAGTCGCACTGACCAACCTGACTGGAATACCCTGTGAAGATCAGCCGACTCTTTTTAAATGCTCACCTATCAAGTGGGTTACACTTTCAAAAGCTATTGCCATAACATCTATTGTTATTCAATGGTAAAATCTTGCCAGTTATTATCGAGGATTTTCGTCAACAGCTGAACAATCCCCGTACAGAGCGACAGCATTTTTTTCGGAGCCTGATAACGAACGATCAGCGGCCCGTGTAATACTAAGCGACTGCGACTAGCAGAGAGAAACTATTACATGTTCTACTGTTGCAGTATTTCTGCAGAACCGAAGGAATTCTATCCGCAGTGCATTCATCAGACGTGGCCGACAATCACACATGCACGATGTAAACAAGGAGTGATTCTACCGATGCACTTCGCAAACATTTTACCGCCACGGGGTTAAGAAACACAAATTTTGTCAAAAGGGAACTGCGAAGAAATTTCTTTTCGATACATCTCCTCAGACAATTACAACCATGAGCTTCATAATAATTTATGCAGTAGCTATTGTTAGCGATACGATGCAAAGTCGTGAATGCCGCGATCGGATGAGCAGTGGCAATCTACGTCTATTTGAAACCACTACCATTGACCACTTTGCCACAAATCAGCTGACCAGGCTAGGGCCACGGTAGGGTTAAACTCTGCATAAGTGCACGCAGTTTACACAGTGCCGGCTTCAGTCGCTTGATCGCAATTGCTTCTGCTGTGGCCAATAGGCGCTTCCTGAGTCCTTTTATGCAGGGTTTGGCTGCTACATACACTCTTCTGAAGGGCTCTTTCGTTTGTATTTTATGTCAATTATCTACTAGGTGTTCTAAGATGGAGCTGTGGACATTTCCGGTGGTACCACGCAGTAATGAGGTAGGGCAGTGTTCCGCTATCCGCTTTGACAGATGTCTGGACGTGTGTCGAGGTATCGCGCACCACAGGTGCACGTGAACTGATATAGGACATAGGAATTGGACTTGGCCGGAAATCTGTCTTTTAGGCTGTTAATGATGAGCGGGATGGTTTCGACATAAATGCGGACTCTGGCGGCCGGGTACGTTTGGTTTAGCGTGGAAGTCAATTTCCTACTCAACAGTTCGAACTGTATGTCTCCTTTGAAAGGCACTGAGAGGAAAACGTCTTTCCTTCTCACGGTCATTTTCGACTCAGGCTCAGCTCGCAGCTAGGAATGCTTTTTGATGAAAGCAGTTGGGTACTCGTTGTTTTCCAATGTCTTGAGTATGTACTTCTTTCCGCCTTCAGTGTCTCAGGGCTGCAAATCCTTGTAGCCCGATAGTGCAGGCCACGTACCAAGTTTCGTTTGTACTTTATCGGTACGAAACTGGAAATGCGTGTACTGACCTACCTAGGTTGGTTTGCGGAAAGCCTTTCTCTCAAACGATCTGTTCACTCGTCATCGCAACAAAACATCCAAAAATGGCAGTTTCCTCTCCTCCTCAATCTCGCATGTGAATTTCAACAATGGTTCTGCGTAGTTACGTTGATTCAGCAGATGAACTTGATCAGTATGAGAGCCGCAATCAATAAACGTATCATCTATGTATCGTTTGTAATAACCAAGATATATGACTATGTGTCTTATAGGTCCGCGACCACTTTCTGCGAGAAAAATGTTTGCAAGCAGCGATCCTGGTGGTGATCCCATCGCAACTCCGTCTATTGGTCTATAATATTTTTCATCAAATGGAAACCGTCGCATACAATTATTTTTAATGTCTTAGCCGCCATGGTTCGATCAAATACTTTTATATACCAATAGTTTTGAATACTGTAACGGAGGCGCCCGATATTTTCAACGTAATACAGGTGCAAAATCGCGAATGCGGTTTGACATCACCCTACTGATCCATTTACCGTCACAGGGTCAACAGATGGACGCCGCATGAAACGTCAAATCACTGCGTATGTAGAATCCAATACAAAGCTTGCTGTAGATGTAAGAACGAAAGTGAATGGAAAGCGCAATGACATCGGAAGATACGATGGTTCGCTATACCTGTGTATGCGAAAAGGACGCACAAAAATGAGCAAAGAGCGACACGCATAAGCAGGTACAGGCCAAGAACGCATGGCATACAAAGCCTGGATCGATATGCAATAGTGTACCACCAGTGGTGCAATAGAAGAGTGACAATGCACGCAAATAAACTACAATCCTAGATAAGAGCCGTTGAAAGTCAAACTGGAACACAAATCCGGTCTCTTTCTAGAATTTTCACAGCACGGATGAGAATGATATGGAATGACGGCCAAACTGAAAATTCCTGCTCTGTCACTGAAAGTGCCAGGTGTAATCTAGTTGGTGTTTTGGTACAGCCATTTGTGAGTAATACCAGTAGGACGGAGATGATAGAGTAGATACTCCAGGACGTACATCATTGTTCCATCGATCCCCGCGAAGCTGACCAATAGAGGGCTGGCTGGTAGCTAGGTAAACGAACATATGAAGATAAGAGCGTGAGGAAACCGCGTTAGTGTTGCGTCGGGAAAGCGCACAGTCGAGCAAACCAAAGGGTGATGACAAGTAACGAAAAAAGAGTACAGTAGGCATGATACATCGCACACAACTAAGCACCTATATGCAAGGTTGTAGCAAGCTACGCGTAAACCTGCTGAGGAATAAAACGTTTATTTATTTATTTATAAAGTAGTTGCAACGGGGTAGCGTTAGGTGCTACCTCCAACGGAACACAAAAGCACAAAAACTTAGGAAATTAGCACACACCAATGTTAGTGGTTGGTTAAATAATGCTCTAAATCGATGCCAATGTCTTTTGTGAAATGAGAGGGTGCGCACACCGTATAATAGATTCAAGAGAAAGTTTCTGCTTCGTTCGAACATAAGCGGTCAAGCTCTAGTAGAAGGACGAGTGAGATCGTCTTTTGGGCTCAGTATGTGTCGGTAGGTACAAAGGTTTGTCGACCGTTCATCAGAATATCACACACTATCCGTGCGAGCTGGGCTAATCAGCGCGCGCCGATCACTGTGCTCGTGTTTCCACGTCGCGGTTAACTACAACCTACCAATAGCACTGGCACGCCGTTGCCAACACAGGCCCATCAGTACACGAAGTAAGGAAGCCCCTTTGCCCGGTATGCGTTGTACTTTGGTGTTCTTTAGCGGCCTCACTAAGGTAGCAAGCAAGTACGCGTCAGGACACTAGTTAAAGGTGTCCATGCTTCTTGATTACGTTTTGAGGAAATAGAGGTCAACGTTGTCAGCACAACAGGTGACCTTAGAAGTGATGTGAAGGAATAAGTATAAGTGGTGCTGAGGAGACGCTCAAAATGATACCACCTAAAGGACTATTCTGCCCCCCAGTGACGAAACGCGAGTAAATCGAGGGAACAAAGTATCAAACACAACTAAATGTAGCCTATTAAGAAGGAGAAGAAAGGAAACCTGTGAAATCGCCGACGTTTTATCGAAACCGTTGCTGATCTCCGGCAACTGTTCCTCATTCGATTCCCCAGAATATGTATGGAACCGACCGGTAAAGCTTGCCACATACGTTTCTATGCCTAGAGAACCCTTCTGAAACGATCAACTGTTCCTATATCTTCGTGTGTAATTATAACAATATATTGATCTTATGAATTTGAGAGGTCGCTGCCACCAAAGAAACGTTCGCTGCATCGGGCGTCGGTGAAACGCATCCAGGAACGTCTTACACTATAACATTTATTATATAAGTTTGCAAGAGGTGGGAAACACTTCAGCCAATGTGCCACAATACATGAGAAAAGGGAAAAAACGCAACACGAGTAACGGATAGGCATCGTTCCGCAGAGCTAGCAACCGGCTATCGTGGCAGAAATGAGCTCGGTGCTGGAGGCGGAGACTAAGCGGGATGGGCAAAGACAAAAATAATCACAACACATGCCACCGAGGTCAGCTCCTAGCCATATCAACAAATGTATCCAGCCAAAGGTGTTTACCATTTTTCGGGCCGGGAGGCTCTACCCGAGGCCAACTTCGAACTAAGTGCCTTCATTCCTCCTAACCAAGTCGTCGCTTGGCTTCCTTGCGTTCACGAAGCGTTCTGGCAGACTGTTGAAAACATACACGACGCGCCGCTCGAAGCACAGATGGCGTACAACTCGTCCCAGATACGGTACTACAAGTGTGCATGTCGGTATACGCGCGTGCTGCATGGTGCGCGGGTGGAGCGGTGACCCGGATCTATGGTGATAAGTTCGACTCGTGACTGACGACAGCACAAGTTGAACAGTCATAGTTTCTCGCAACGGCTTTCATACAACAGATTTCGTAAACTGGGGATGAGCCTGGCAGCGACATGTTGGACCCAGTTGATCTGTGCCTCGGAAAGCATGTGAGCCAGCCGTAATCTAGCACTGGGGGCACCTCAAGCATGCACAATGCGCTACAGTATGTACTGTTGTGTATGGGAATGCTGAATACTGAGAGTAGAGAGCAAAAGATAAAAGTCTGTGTTGCTCCATCGTAGGTGGATCGGGCACATGCGCGAAATCACGTCGCTAATTCCTGCGCGGTGGCAGCATATAGCAAATGCACTACATGTTATCCGGATGCGATACACTCCCTACACCTGTAGTCCGCGAAGTGGGCCTCAAGGAATCACCTAAATTCCGACACCGAATTTGCCTCGATTGGCGTCTCCGGCAATTTGTTCCAATATTTCACCACTCGAAGCATAGATAGTGAGCGATGTGCTTTAAATCCGCTACCACTAGTTTGTATCGGTGTCCGCGTGTGTTGCTTGGTGCACGAACGTGCAGCAGCAGCCTTAACATAGGGAAGTACCCCAGGTGCGTCCTAATGAGATCAACTCGAACCCGACGATAAAACCCTAATCTCCCACATCAGTCCTCGTACGATATACACCGTAAACTGGGGAGGAGCCAGGTAGCTACATGCTGGACCGGTTCCAGTCCCTGCACCTCACCTAGTGAGATCGGGCAATAGGCTGGTGAGCCGTACTCAAGCACCGGTCTTATTATGGGAGAGAACAGACGGGTGGCAATCTCTTCAGACCAAGTGCAGAAGCTGCGTCTAAGTGCCCAAAGTAGGCGTAGTCCGTTTGCGTACAGTCTGTTCGTGTTGTCGACAGACTTCAGATCACAGCGTGAGAGTACGCCTAGATCCTTTACGAAACTGGTGGGATGCAGCGGGTGGCCGGCCAGGGTGTACACACGTCCATTACTACCCCTCTCCGGGCTCATAAATGAGGACTTGGCCGTGTTGACCGGTAGGTCAACTTCTACAGACCACCGGGATAGGCGATCAAAGTCCTGCTGAAGGACGTCAACGTCACCGGGAGAATTAATAATCCTCCAAAGTTTCAGGTCATCCACAAATAATACGTAAAGCGACCGAAGAACCTGAGGCATTTCGTTGATGTGGATCAGGAATAAAATGGGCCCCATTACTGTGCATTGGGGTACGCCACTATTGGACGGGTACCATTCTGTTAGGTGATCATCCACCTGAACCCGCCATCTCCCAATAAGGAAGTCACTGATCCACTGGTGCAGTGCGCCACCAACACCACACCCTCAGCTTGTGGAGCAGGACCTCATGGTTCACTTTATCGAAAGCAGAGGCCTTTCACGGAAGCTGTGAGGCTGGCCGTCGAGGGTGTGGATAGACGGCCGAGGTATTGCTGAATAAGGTCGTAGTAGCCGGGAGCAGTACTCATTCTCCACATCTATAGGTCGTCCGCAAACAAGGCGAACGGTGATTGGTGAGGTAAATTGTTGAAGTACATTAAGAACAAATGAGTTCCAGTACTGCACCTTAGAGTATACCACTGGTCGAGGGATACTAGTCGGTGGATACATCCTCTATTTTCGTCCAACGGAAAATATACAGATGCACTGATGTAGTGTGGGAAAAAGACATCGCACACTCTCAGTCTGTGAAGAAGTATCTCATGGCTCACTTCGTCGAACAATTTGCCGAAGGAGACATAGATTAAATCGATGGACTGCCTGCGGTTCATTGCTTGCGACAATTCATGCCTCGTCATGAGCAAATAACACATGGGATGCAGTGCCATCGTCAGGTCTCTTTACTTTAGCAGCTGTAGTTTATTCCCCTTTACGATTATCTCGGGTAACTTCGCTAGGACAGGCCTCAAACAAACTAGCCGATAGGTATCCACTTCGGTAGGGTCATTGCTTTTGCAGTCTACTTTACGTTTTAACATTTCTAAATGTCCAGAAACGAGCCATGGGACAGCGGTGTGTTGAACAATTAAGTCAGAGAAAGCGAAATGATGGTGGATAACGGCTGGAGTATCACTAGATGAAGACCGATAAACTTGGCATAATTGTGTAATTGACGTACGACGATTCATGTTGCTGAGTTTGTCAGGTGCGGTGCATGTTGAGCATTGCACGACAAGTTGGTGAACTGGAAACAAGGAGGCGAAGCGCGCCGCTGCAGCAGACGCACGCTCAGTGATGCAGATTTAGAGCTGTTTGTCCAGGCGCTTAAGCGCTGGAGGTCACTCGCGGGCTACGGTGTGACCCAGATATGGTACATCAGTAGTCCACCCGAATTTGCCTGCAATCCAACGTGAGTCAATATAAAGCACTTTCTAGAGAACCACATAAGGGCTAGGAATGCAAGTATTTTAGCGGCCTCCTTTGGATTCTGACCTGGGCGTGCTGGTTTAGGATGATTTGAGTTGTTCGAAAACAATCCGAAAAGTCATCGAAAGCTGGTAACCAACACGTCGGTTGGCGTTCGGACAAATGGACACATCTAACTTCCTACAGGTGCTCATTGCGTATGTTCGAAAAGGCAATTCAAGCCTGGATCCATGGCTAAAACACGACCAGACTACATTGAAGCAGCCTACCCATCGGGCTTTCAAGTATATCACTGGAATTCGCAATCTCCCATACCAGCAGAGGCTGAAGCTTTTTGTAGTATTCAGCGGACGGTATCGCCGATTACGACGCGGCGTGATAGTGAGATAATTGATTCTGCATGATCCAAATCATATGTGCCGCTCTTTACTGGAACTCAAAAGTAACGCAAACCTAAGAGGTCACTCCTTGAAACTGACAGAACAGTGTAGCCACGTGGAGTGCCTCAACACTATCCGAATCAGTCGTTTCTGCGCCGGCACCAGCCAAATTAAAGAGCAGTTGGATGGCGCACTCAGTCACTTACAATTTGTTACTCAACACTTTCCGTTCTACACCTGGAAAATACCCTGGAATTATTGGCTGTCACCTGGAGTGCAGGACTACTGCATTAAAACGATAATTTTTTCTTCTACCAGTAAAAGTACTGTTTCTCCTTAAGGTTCTTCGATAACCCCACCAGACCTTCCGACGGGGCTTGTAAAGCAGTGCTTCTTAGCCCATATACAGTCGTTGATCATCGCTCATGTGGGCAGAGATTTTCTTGAGAGTGATCTTCGCTACTGCCAGAAAACAAGGAGTCATCAACCAACTAGTACGAAAAGAAGTGTGATATCGAAGTAAATGTTAGCTCAGATTGCTCAACTAATGGTCTGCCAGTTCGGAACTTTCGTCATCAATCGAGGTGACATCACCAATGCGTTGCTGTGTGGCGGAGCACAACAGATAAGGCGACAATTCGGAAACAGCGCGACAATCATTGCAGGATAAGGTTAGGGTTTGGTGTAACAGTCAGGGGTGTTGTCTGGGGCACTGCTAGGGCGCTTACACCTAAGCAGGCGACCGTTTGAAATGGAAATCCGGTGTTGTACGCCCGAAAACACCGCTTCCTACCATGCGTTTCGATCTTTTTTGATTTCCGCAGGTAGTGATAGTAGGCCTCGAACCAGGAATCATTGGGATGTTAGTTAAAACCCCTGTCTACCTAGCCACCGGGTAGGGACGGGCAACACACAATTTCTTGACTTGGTGGCTAAAGGTGTAGAGGTCCCAACTATTGCCCAATTTCTATATGCTTCAGCTACGGTTCTAATGATCGAATTGGCCAAGGTTCGTTTCAATACTGATTTGAGTGCGAGACCTGGCGCGACCTTCCTCTCTAGTTTTGTGCCAAATACTGGTGAAAACGAGCAGATGGGAATAAAGAAACATGGGGCAAGTGCAACAGACAGGATGTGAGTTATTTGATGTGACATTGCTGTTTAAAAATCTGATAGCGGCTAAATGACAGCAGAATTGACGTTTACCTTGTGCAAATCATACTTTGGTAGAGTGTAATCCGATTCCTCGGGATACCAACGGGGCGTGTTATTCGCGTAGGGGCCCAGTAGTTCACCAATGGATACATTGCTAAAGCGCGACTTGCCAAGAAAGTCGAAACTATCTCGAACCTCTACACCCACAGATTCAGCACATATGCCTGGAGATAGAAAAGAAAGCTGAGTATGGGCTGAATCGAAGCACCAATCAGATGCGTGCAATGCAGATGTTACGAGCCTCCGTAGAATAGTTGAAATCCACTGGGTGGCAGCGAAAGTGGAACTTACAAGATGATGCAGAAGAAACGAGTCGCGAATGCATTAAAAGCCAAAAGAGACATGAATAAGGCACAGTGAACTTATGCTTGGTTTTGATGCTGTACCAATTAAAACTAGCGAGTTGGAGAGTAACCTTCTGGGAACGCCAGTGGGCGCTGAAATGGTGAGCTGACAGTACGAGAAAATCATCACCAGGTGGGGACGAATCGATAACACCATGCCTATTTAGTCTAGAGTTAAAGAGAGAGGGTGCATAGTGGCGAACCCAAACAATCGATAAAATGATGTTGAGAATTATGCTCAGCTTATCCGGGGAATACCGTCCTCTGGGTCCGAGAATGTATACATGCATGAATATTAAGCACCATCAACACCAGACCCAATTACACTGATAGGTAAGATTGTGTGAGGTGGCGTGAAGATATGTGGCAGTGAGGCACAGAGTCCGCCACAGGCACTATGATTACGCAAGATTAGTTGCTGTGACTAAGGCTAAAGAAACGATACCCAAGCAGATTGACCTCGTACAGATGCTACGTTGGCATGCGACCACCAGTGGTTGTGTGTGGGCTAGGGAAACTGCTAAGTTGCTCACCCTGACGCATGCACGAAGCGGTGACCAATGAATTACAAGCCCTACGCATGGACCGGTTGGCCACCCGTCATCGTGATTAAAAGTAGCGTGACTTCAGCCAGAGCAATCTTTGTAAAGAACCTTACCGGTGATAGGACAGGGCAATATATCGTCCAATATCAGTAGACGGCAGTGCTCTCTTCAAATGGCGGCGTTAAGCAGTTTTGGATTGAAGCACCCTTAAATCACCGGACGTCGTAGTAACAGTTACCAACTAGCTGGCCCAATGTGTAGGTTCCACAACCTTAGTTATAAAACCGAGTGCGCCTAGGCGCTCCAACTCCTTGGAAATCCTTACGCGTAGCGCTACTGGTAGCTTTCTGGCAGTCAAAGCCACTGGTACAGCAGACCCACTTAACGATAGATGTATGCAACCGCCGAACCACTCCATCCTTCGCCAAGTACTTAAACGATGAACCATATATACGGGCGACTGACATAAATGCACAAAACGATCCCGTCTAAAAGAAACAAAAACAAGTTGTTGACCATAATCAACGCCCAGAGTGTGCACTAAATCTCTCCAGTACGACGACAAACGTGGTTTCACCCTTCGGATTGATGACATTTAGCGTGACACTACCCTACGGATGGAATTTCGTACCGTTCCACATTTTAAAATAGTGTTGTTCTCGTCGCACTGCACTCCAGGAGAGTGCTTTTCCGGCAAAACTTTGACCGAAGCCATTGTATCCAACTGGAATCGGAAGGGACGTTTCTCAACAATCAGCGTCGCATATGGGTTTTTATTATCTCCTCAACGCTCAATGTTACTGATGCAAGTTTCTGGGTAACTGGCGCATCGTCGCATTCAACTGAATTAATCTTCTTCGATCGGCAACGTCACGCGAAGTGATTATTCTCCGAGCAGGTCTTTCCCCAGACGGAATAGCTTTCTTGTAGGGAGTTGTGACTGTGACCATATTACTGTTAGGCTGGTCTGCGACATCGCACACATGGGCTACGATATAGGCCATAGTTCAGCGAGTGTGTGAGGCTTAATCAGGAGAAACTGGGATGCTGTTATCGGTACGCTATTGCAAATGTCGATGCATTGGTCTAGCGTAAGGGTTCATTGTTGCAATAATTTCCACGTAATGTTCTCTTCCTGAATACCCAGTACAATTCGATCTCCCACCAACGAATCGCGTAGGCACTGATACAAATGCACGTTCTTGCTAGCAATTTCAGTACTGTTACATAGTTGTTGCTGAATATTCACACATGCAGGGTGCATAAAGCAATTTCTTGACGTGATTTCAAACAAAATCGTATCGTTGTTAAGTTTCCTTACCCTACCTTCACAATTCGCTAAAACTTTAAAGCATATCGTTCAAATTGAGCTCCTGATATTCGCCTCTCAATATGATTGCTGCCAGCACACGTCTTGCTTCATCGCCAACAATATGCCGGAACATCACCAACTGGCAATCAACTGGATGATTTGGGGAATCAAGCGCACACAAGACGGTGGCTGGAAAGTAGTCCGCTCCACAATGAGTGCATGGAACCACTCTTCGAGCCTAGCACGACCACAAGGACCGTGCACCCCGTCCCCTCCGGCAACGACCAACTGTCTCCTGGACCCAATATGGACGAGCTAGTGGGTAATAGACAGGTAGGCACCTTGTCAACATGCACATCAAGCGCAGCCACATCGGGGATATCAAGCAACAGCCAATCACTTAAAACGACAAAATGAAATAAAACAAATCCAATAATGCATACAGATACGGTGGTATAACTCTTCGCTACATTATTATATGAAGTAAGTTGGTTAGCAACGAATCCGCGATAAGGAAAAATGTCCACAAGTTACTTAAAAATGCTACAAACGCAACAAAGTTACCGAAGATAAGCGCAATTAGCGTAAGCAACGTGGCCAGTTAATAGATTATTCAGGTAGGCAGAACAAACCAAAGAAAGTGGAATGAAGTTTAGCCAGCTTAAAAAGACCTACCTTAAGTATAAGTTGGTTTAGCCCAACTGCAGTGAAGAAGCATCAAGAATGCAGCATCAGCCTCAGCATAAGGCAAACATACATACATGGTTGGCGGCATCCGGTTTCGGATTTGCCTGTCACTGTGGCCAGCCACATGACACCTGCGCCTACAGAACGACCATGGATGGCTTGCGCTGCACCACCCACAGCTCCAACCACACCCCATATCCAGTGTAAACCGAAGGAATAAGACCGGGAGGCATGTGGATGGGAGCCACGTTTCATCAACGGAGCCGGCCCACACTCCTTCACAGGCAAACACAAGCACGCTGTATTTGGGGAATCAAGCGCACACAAGGCGGTGGCTGGACCGTAGTCCGCTCCCCACTGACTGCATGGAACCACTCTTTGATCCTAACACGGCCACAAGGACCGTGCACCCTCTCCCCTCCAGCAACGACCAACTGTCTCGTGGAGTCAGTATGGACGAGGTAGTGGGTAATAGACAGGTAGGCACCTTGTCAACATGCACATCAAGCGCATCCACACCGGGGATATCAAACAACAGCCAAACACTTGAGAGAGAGAGAGAAAGAAAAAGAGAAAAACTCGATTAATGCATAAGGAAACGGTGATATAAACCTTAATTAAATAGCATATGTAATAAGTTGTTTACAAACAAATCCTAGCTAAGTGCACGAGGTCAGAAAGTATAGTTCACGGAATGCCACGAACACAAATATGCTACGGAAATCGAATACAATTGGCTTAGGCGAGGTGTGCAAGTTAATGGAATAGAGTACTGGTAGACATTTATATGAGAAAGAAAAGCATTAAGGCACAAACTGTAAACCCACCACCTGAAATAAAGAGACTTAGCATCCAAGCACGCGGTTAGTAAATCGAATTCAGCGTGCCTACAAACGCTGCGCCGGCTCGCCGTAATTCTCTGCAGGACCCGTCGTCGCTTCTGTAGTGTCCCCAAATGGCACAGATCATGGCCCACTAGACATTTGTATGAGAAAGAAAGGCATTAGGAGAGAATCGCAAACCCACCACCTGAAATAAAGAGAATTAGCATGCAAGCATGCGGTTAGTAAATCGAATTCAGCGTGCCTACAAACGCTGCGCCGGTGCCGCCTACGTTCACTGCTGGACCCGTAGGCGCTTCGGCAGTGGTCCCGAGTGACCTCTCTCATGGCTCACTAGGCCTGCCTGACTCAGGCACTCGCGACCGCATGTTCTACAGCACCATGCGCTCGATGTCGATGGAGTACAATCCATTGGTGCTTGCCGCTTCTTCTCTGCATGCATGAGGGCTTTCTCCCGCACTTCAGCAACTGCCTTCGTGATTAGATCGCGCCATGAACACGATCAACCGCCTTCGATTCCCATGATCTGCAATCAAGATTAGAACGTGTGAGGCTCACTTTAATCATGTCCTGGTAACGTAACTTTGGTTTCCCCACGTGCCGCTTCCCTATACTCAGCTGTTGTTTCGGTATTCGCGTCGAATCCATACGGCTCACATGACCGAGCCATCTCAGGTGTCTCAGTAAAAGTATGCCGTCCACTGCATACATCCCACTTCGGCGCAACACTTCCGTGTCTGCAACTCTGGCGCCCCAGCCGATCCGCAAAATTCGTCGTAGACACTGCTGATGGAACCGCTCGAGATATCGCACATCCCGACGGTACATCGTCCACGTTTCACTGCCGTATAGAAGAACGGACAGCACCATGGATTTGTACACCATCAGCTTCGTGCCAATGGTAAGCTGATGGTTGTTCCACACTCGGTACTCTAGCTTCCCGAATGCCGCCGCTGCCTTCGACACGCGATTACGCAACTCAACGTGTAGCTGTTGATCAGTCGATATCACACTCACAAGGTAGCTGAAGCGGGAGGTGGTTTCCAATACTTCAGCACCAATGCTGATTCGCGGCAATATTGAAGATTGCACCTTCGGTGAAGGCTGAAAGAGACAGACAGTTTTGCTTGTATTGATGGTGAGCCCGAATTTGGCCGCTGTCGAAGCCAGAGCACTAGTCATGTGCTGCAACTCATCCGCGCTGTGTGAAAACAACGCACAGTCGTCAGCAAACAGCAACATACGGATAGTTGTCTCACAGACTAGAGTTCTCGCACCGAAACGACGGATGTTCAGCAACCCACCATCAATACGACGCTCCACACGAACACCGTAAGCACAAGCCGCATCAAAAGCACAAGACAACATTGCATGAAGATAGATATTAAACAGGGCAGGAGCTAAGACACAGCCTTGCTTCACACCAGTGACAACTGCAACGTCATCCGAGGTCTCTCCACTTAGATGCACCCGCGCTCGCATACCACTGTGCAGAGATTCAATTAAACTTACAAACTTACGCGGGCAACCAAACATACCCAACACCAGCCACAGTGCCTCGCGGGTCACCGTATCAAATGCCTTGGTGAAATCAACAAAAAGCGAGTACAATGGCTGGTGTCGTTCTCTGCACTTCTCCTGCAACCGACGAGCCGCAAACACCATATCTATAGTGCTGCGACCCGAACGGAATCCACATTGCTCTTCCGCCACGTTAGGTTCCACAACCTGACTCACGAGGCGATTGAGCAGGATTCGGGCAATCACCTTGCCCACACAACTCAGCAAGTTGATGCCACGATAATTCGTGAAACATTGCTTGCTACCTTTGCCCTTGTACAGTGGTAGCACAAGGGCATCCTTCAGCTCAGGTGGCACCTCCTCCTCAATCCATACACGTTGCACCATGTGGTGCAGCGCAGTCAACAACGCGGGTCTGCCGTGTTTCAATACTTCAGGCGGGATCCTGTCGGTCCCGGCGCATTTGCCGTTTCGCAGCTGAGCAAGTGCTCTCTGCGTCTCATCCAGTGTCGGCGTATCCGCCAGATCCGCCTTCACATCGTGCTGCTTCAGGTCATTCAATGTAGGCCAGTCGATCTCTGAACGGTTGTTCAAGAGACAGTCAAAGTGTTTCCGCCAGACCTGCATTATGTCTGCAGTCTGGGTGCAGGTAGCGCCTGAACTACCATCGATCAGTGTCCTCAGCGGCTCCAATCTCGGTCCATACACCGCTTTCAAAGAGTCAAAGAATTCCTTGTGTTGACGGCGTTCGGCGTAGCATTCCATCTGCTTCGCCTTCTCCGTCCACCATGTATTTTTAATGTGACGGAGCTCTCGGATCAGTCGCCGTCGAAGTTTACGAAACTGACTACTCTGCCCCAAGTCACTGGGGTCTAGCACATGTGCAGCAAATGCTGCATTCTTCTCCGACACCAATGCGTCAATAGTCACATTGTTGTCATCAAACCAATCAGGCCGCTTACAGTTTGCGCGCCCGATGATCTCCTCCGCAGCAGCTGTCACCTGGTCGCAAATGTGGTGCCACAGGTCGCCCACTGTGGCTATGCAGTCCACATCACCACACAGGCGTGCAGCCATCGCCTTCTCCAGCTCAGTACGTTTCGCCACAGTACTGAGGGAGAGAATGTTAAATTTACGCCGATTCACGGCGGGAGTGCAATACCTAGATTTACGAAAATATATGTACAGTTTGGTCCGAACCAACTTGTGATCAGTGCCACACTCAGCTCCACGCAGTACACGTGTCATGCGCACTTCACGCATATCACGCTGACGTACGATGACATAGTCGAGCAGGTGAGCGTGACCACTCCGTGGATGCGTCCAAGTTGCTATATCACTCGCACTCAGTGCAAACCGAGTGTTCGTGATCGTCAGGCCGTGAGTGGCACACAGTGAGAGCAGCCTGTCACCGTTCGCATTCGCTGAACCAATACCATGCGCACCGATAACATCTGTCCACGCTGATGCATCACGCCCAACGCGCGCGTTGAAATCACCCAGCAGAAATAGTCGGTCGCTCCTCGGAACAGACCGTATCACGGAGGATAGCACAGTGTAGAACTGATCACGCGTGTCATCAGGATAACACATGGTCGGACGGTACGTGCTTATAAAAGTAGCAAACTTACCTCTTCCGTCATCCCATTTGATCGAATTGAACAATGTATGAATGACATATATATATATATATATATATATATATATATATATATATATATATATATATATATATATATATATGTCATTCATACATTGTTCAATTCGATCAAATGGGATGACGGAAGATATGGCGGACAATTATTTTGTGAATCAAAATAAGAATACCAGAAGAGGAAGATTGTTGGATGATAATGTCATTTCGTGCATACTTGTAGGCCACATACAAGCCGTACAAAGGTGACGACCTCGTGAAAGTCAGCTAAAAGAATAAGTGCCTCAACGAAGAAGCGGTCCAACGCAGCAGAGCTACGCCTGCTCCTGACCACAAGACCACTACTTAAGTGGTCATTGAAGACATCTGTGTAGAGCAGTGCACGTACAATTGTTTATACAAATCCACATGTAGCTGTGTGATAACTATATTAGGCACACTGCTCGAAACCTGGGTGTTCGAATCAATGAACACATTCGAAAGTGGCTCCGTAAACAGATGGGACACGCGACGATCGCACCCGGCGGCATTTGACGACCCCATTTAACTAGTAAATCCGGATGAGTCATTCACTCCTGAAGCGCAATCAAAGGCCTCACATGCTCAAGCTTCTCAAGGCCATCGTTATCGACCGAGAGCACCTATCACTGCGTGTCCAAAAACAGCTCATAAAGACATTAAACCTATCGTGGTAGCGTGCAACGCACCAATCGGAAAACACTTGATCAATAATTGATAACATGTGGTGTTGTTCGGCATCCCTTGTTAGCTGTTTGTATGTAGCCGATGAGTATTGCACGAAATGATAGTATCATCCCACAATCTTTGTCTTTTGATATTCTTATTTAGAATTATAAAGGCAAATTCATGTTTTATATTATTTTGTTTTAGAACCGGTCGAAAAAGTTTCACATGATGAAGCCCGTCAGATAACAAATGTAGGAGTTGGATGAATCGACAACGAAACTGTAAATCTCAGAGAGCGATAACTCATCGTACTGATTTGCTCGTCTTCATTCCGGTCCACTTCACCGCATTCGGTTTTCTGTCCTAGCCCTTTGGAAACGATCAGCTCCAACGCTTTTCTGGATATAACATAGCCAGCACTGCCTGAAAGTTTGTCGCCGTGTGGACCAGGCTGTAAAGAAAGGCAAAAATCTAGTAGGTTAAGCCGACGAGTGAACGGTAGGCATAAGAACCAAACGGAAAGAGTCAATGGGGTAGGTGTAATTGGATTGGTAAGTCGTAAAATACATAACCACTCCAAGTACGAAACAATGGGCATGCGCGAGTAGGAGTTCTAACATTTACCAGGAAATTCGAATTACGCAGGGGTGGAAGGAACCAAGCATACAAGTGGGAATCAAAGCCTACTTGTTCAAAGGATATCACCATCATGCTGAAGGTGGGAAATGCCTCAGCCACTGTGCCGCAATGCAATACAAAAACATAAAAAGAGACAAACAAAAGTAAAAGCAAGACGAACGACATGCTTGTCTTTTCATTACGCATCGTTACTGAGATGGTGGTTGGAAACAGGCGCCGAACGGGATCTGTAACGGAAGCGAGACGGTTGACTACGATGGTGCACTCCAGCAGGCCACAGGACGTGACACGATTTGGAGACGTCTGTCTGGATGATGCGGGTTTCTACTCGATCGGCAGTAGCAGGGCTGAGTCACGCAGGAAGCTGATGAAATCAAATCGCCATCATCATGATCCTACCTACAGTGAAGTCCGCTACCAGAGTCGAATCTGTTCAACGAAAAGATGTGATTCACCTCGGTGACAGACATGCGAGATAAGAGCATATGACCTATAAAATTAACCATGTGCTATGCCTAATATGCTTCGGTTTAGCGGGCTTGGAGTTCTGATTTGCCTGGGCTGGGTTTGCGTGGCAGTGCAGAGAGCAGAGGGAGAAGCAGCATTACAACAGGATTGAGAGAGGCAAAGAAATTCGCAATACAAACGCCACTGAGGATGACTCTTCATTGCGTCAGCAATTGTATTCAACCAAACGTGTTCATCGACTTTCGGAGCTCAAGCTAGGCATGGGGAGGCACCCACCGAGCCAAATTTCAAAGTGAGCACCTTCATTCCTAATAAAAAAAGACTGTCTGGCCTCATATTCATCCATCCACACCCCGAAAGCAATGCGGTTCGCGGGACCCGGTGTAATTACATGCTTACTACATGGCTCATACATAGGAGAGTGATGCGTAAAAGTACAGTACTGAGCTGTTCACCTACATTCACTGTGTCATAAACAAGACGTCGAAAATGCTTATAGCTCACGCGGCTTTCCGTTAAATGTGGCCCAAACTACGAAGGCACCGGCGGTCGAACGTAACAAGCCTCTTTGCGTTTGTCGATTTAATGGACCAGATTTCACAAACGTACAGTAAGGTTGGACGGACGCCTTTATCGCAAACTCTATTCTTCAGTGCGAAAGTGATGTCGCACTTGTGCCACAAGTGGCGAAGATTGTCAAAAGCACCTCAAGCCCGTTATACAGTTCGTGGTCTCATCCACAAGCGCTGATACAGCTGCCGAGCTATTCGGATATCGTAACGATTTCTAGCTTATCTCCACCGAAGGTCAGTGCAGGAGGCAGTCCATACCAATGGTGGACGTGAGATTTGCTTTTCGAGGGTGCAAAACCAAGACCAAAACGACCGACAAGCAATGCTAATCTCCATAGTGCTGCTTGGCACCTTCGTGAGCTGACATGGATAAGGGCAATGTTATCGGCGTGCTCGAAGTCAAGAAGCTGATCACCTGGAGGCAGTCCCATATCTTCTAAATCGTGTCCGGTGAACGCCGTTTTCATGACAGCCGACGGCGAAATTAAAAAGCGGTGACAGTGGGCATCCCTGTTTAACGCCGCTGGTGATATTGAAGGTGGGCGAAAACTTGTCTTAAGCCCTCACTCTCCCAAAACTACGCGCATAAGGCGCCCTGATAATATCTACGTGTTCCATGTACACACCTTTTCTAATCAAACAGTCGCAAATGGCACATCGATTCACTTAATCGAAGGCACCTTTGATGTCGAAAAACAGAACTACAGCTAATCGCCAACTTAAATGGCGGTGCTCAAACAACTGGCGTAAATTGAAGATGTGGTCAATGCAATCTCGATTTTGAAGAAACTTGACATGTTCTTCACGAATCTGACATTCACGGTATACAGACAGAAGCAAGTAGCTTAGAAGCGATGGAGATCAGAGTGATTACTCTATGACTTCCATATTTCGAATGTGAGCAACCTCTGATGATCGGGGCAATAACGGGCAGCTCCAGTCGGTTGGAACAGTTTCCTGTTCACACGGTTTGACTATCATATCCTGCAAATCGTTTGCGATTGCAGTTTCTCGGATGTGAAGAGAGCTAGAGTAAATTTATCTGGTCATGCCGTCCTATTCAACACCAGCAGTCTTCTCACATTCGAATTCTGAGTGAGTAAGCAGATCGAAAGGGACGACATATGGAGCAGAATGATAAATAGCTAGTAGTTGATAAAATTAATTTTCGATTGCTCTAACAAAAGCTATAAATGTTTCGACAGACTGTTCCCTCTAGTCGCATATAGTTTCACTAACGCCGGATAGCATACTGCCCACACCCCGTGTCAGACAGGGTAAGCTAGAATGGTTACCAAGGACGACGATCACTCGCATCTCACAACACACGATGAGTTCACCGCGCTTTGCGGTCCTTCTTCAAACTAGTAGGCAATCTAACCCTGAAATCTCCGTATTCGCTCCCAAACGGATATATATATATATATATATATATATATATATATATATATATATATATATATATATATATATATATATATATATATATATAGTTTATCAGCCGTCCACAAGATAGACATAGAGCCAGTGAGAACCATGAAACGGAAATAATAAATACAGAGGTCACAATGAAAAGAATGAGTTACAAAAAAATTTATGTTTTTGAATTTTGTCCTTTCTTTCTTGTATTTTTTCAGACGCCATTTACCTTTCGATTTGTTTAATGTTTGCGAAGTAAATCAAGAAAATCAAAACAAACATTTGCACACATTTTCTATTGGGGCCGCTTCTGTACCATCACCGAAAGTTTTCAGCCAGCGGTGTTCTTCATCTTTGATCCCCCAGCCCGGAAGACGCACGGGACCTACAGCAGCTAAACTGGAATTCAGCGCTTTAATCGCTTGTTGTCACATGATGAGCTGACCACCGCGCGATTTCTTCCAGCCTGGTCCTGTGAGAGTGAGGAGAGCGCGTCGGGGCAGCCGTTCGCATGGCATCGGTAAAACCTGGTCCAGCCATCTCAGTTGGCGTAGCGGTAGCGGTCTGCCAAGTGGAAGTCCCGTGTTACCCAAAACGCGACGTCTAACCTCATCGTTATGTACGTGGTTCATCCACCACACTCGAGCTATTCTCTGCGAACATCTATTGTCAAAGGCCGAAATCGGACGTAAGTCATTCACACGAATCGGCCAGGACACACTCCCTTACAGCAGCAGCACGTAAACACAGGCATTGTAGACCCTGTCCTTTACCAATGGTGAAGCGCCACATCGTCGCCCAGAGGCCTCAAGTTGGCGAATGTCGACGGCAAAAGGCGAAGAGAGCTTACCAGAAGCCCTCACTTTACCTGAAACATTGCAATACAATGCTCAAAGGATGGCGATATACTTTGCGGGTACTCCATTCCTTTGTAAGCAACGTCATAAAGCTGGCCAATCGACGGGGTCGAAACCGGCTCAGATAACCAGAAATACAACAATAATGATCTGGCGGTAAAGATGACGCGTTTCAATGAGTTGGCAGAGCGTAAACAAGTGGTCTATACACCCTCGACAGGGGCGGAAACCAGCCTGTTCTTCACCGCGGCGCAATTCTCGAATCGGGTTAGTCTGCGGAGTAGAATGGATGTTAACAGCTTGGAGGCAACGGACATTGGACTGGTTCATCGGTGATTAGTATATAGTGAACGGGCACCTTTCTTGAAGATCGGGACGATAAGTGACACGCCTCAAGCGTATGGAAATGTTTCTTCACACCAGATCATAGAGAACAGAGCTGTTAGCTAGTTAACAACTATTTCGCCCCCGAACTTGAGCAGCTCTGGAGGAAGTCCGTCTGGGCCAGCAGACTTGAATCGCCTCATGTGTCGAAGCTCAAGGCATACCTCAGCTTCAGTGGGTGGTTCCAATGAGACATTCTAAGGCGCGCAACTAAGTATACTCAACAGACTCGCCGGCGAAGGAGGTCAGCTAAATTGTGCGGAAGTGTTCAGCTCAGCGGTCCATACGCCTGTGTAAGTTGCTTATCGGCGTTCCATCAATCTCACAAACAACCTCACTGACACCAGGTCTTTTGTGACCAGTGGCCCAAATGACCTGGAAGAGATTGCGGAAGTTTCCAGAGAGGGCTGCCGTTTCCATCTCTGAGGCGCGCTGGGATCACCAAGTTTCGCGATCCGCACGCAGGCTTTGCTTAAGTTGTTGGCTGAGAATGCGACGCAATGCACTTCTATTTGAATCGGCCGGGATAGCTGTACGACGATCAAACAATTCCAGTGAGTGTGCGGAAATCCAGCACCTCAGAAGGCGTCTTGTGATTCTGCAGATGGAACGACTGGAGATTAGCATCGCTTCACGCAGGAAAATCCAATGATTTGCGAAGTCTCGAGGTGGAGCACCAATGCCTGCATGAGATAAGGAAGCTTGATAAGTTGATCGAGTAGAAGTCAGCTAACTTGTTGGTGTGGAGCGTAAGGGGCTTTCGTTTTGAGGAGCCACCGAAGCGCATGCAGATGTCCGTGCAGATCAAAGCATGATCTGAATCGAGGTACGTAGACCAAATCGTTCTACAACCCCAGACGCTGCCTCGCCACCTACAGCTGATTGCAATGCGATCTATTTGTGACCACGCTTGCGTTGGTGAAGGAGGAGGCCAAGTGGCTGCGCGTCTTCTAGTATGCCTAAAGTTCGTACTCGAGAGAAAGAGACGGTGGTCTTTGCATAACGTAAGAAGTCTATCACCGTTGTCCGAACGGCTCTCATCAAACGTGTGACTGCCACCAAGATGAAGTTCGCACGGAAGCAAGCGACCTACTCGTGCTCTGAGATCTCCGGCAAGGACGATAATATCTGACTTTGCGGCCTTATTCAAAAAGTAGAGACTACGATAAAAGTCATCCTTAACCGATGCATAGCTGCAGTCGATTGGAGCGTAGGCAGTAAGGACAAACTAATTGCGCCTCTTTTCACGATGTCTGTTGATTCTACATGAGCCTTGAAGCCGAACCGCACACAGCCGGCTGTCGGTTGGAAACCAATCGAGTAATGCAAGCCCACTCCTTGTCACTGGATGCAATAGCGACACCAGCTGAGGCGGCTGCCGTTGCCTCCATGTCACCAGACAGACGTTGGTAACATGTGATCTCAAGAGCAGCTGTAGACGGCAATTTAAACACTATGGTGGGATTCTGCAATTGAGCCTCTGAAAGGCAACAAACATCGATGGCGAGTGACTAGGGTGCGCGCCAGGCTAGCCTGTTGTCCAATCTGTAGGAGGGTCTTAACATGGAACGCTGCCAGACGGAATGAAGTATGGGGTCGAAGGATAGCTGATGGCCGGGTGATTTGGATATCAGCGAGACGGCCATTGGAAGTAGATTCAATAATTTGTAGATTATCAACAAGAGAAAAGTTAGTGTGTGATGGAGAAGCACGAGTAGCGGCGAAAGTAGCAGTAGTAAGTGACACCGGAAGGTGTCGGTGATCACTCAGAATTTCAACAGACTGCGCACAGACCCATTGCACGGACTGGTTATCAAACTGGTCACGCTAAGACAAAGCTGTTGCTATTAAGGCTTGGAGAACATGCGACTACTGGCCTACAACTGTACTCGGTAAACCATCTCTCAGTCAGGATCCCAGCGTAGTTTGAGAAACATTCAAACCGGCTGTCGCCAGTTGCCAAGCCCCTGTGAACCTACGCAGATTCGAACCGGTGACCGGATCACAAGGCGCCTTATTCTTATGGCCACCTGCCGATGGTAATGTAACTAGGTGACCGCCTCATCAAGCGCATATGTAACAATGGGTAACTGAGTAGTATGCCGGACATACAATGTAACATTGGTGTACCCAGCAGAAGCTCAGTGGAATCCGGGTTGATGATTAAAAAACGCCGAGAATGTACAAAGTTGGTTCCAAACAAAATGCTGCAAGTCAGTCGGTGAGATGCATCGTATGCTCCCCACGATAATGAGATCAGGTAATTGTCCTTGTTACCATGAAACCATTAGTAAGAAGGCACCGGTACTAGGCCAGAAATTCTTACTAGCGGTTCGCTACCGTGCAGTTCTCAGTGGTAGTATGTAAGTCAGGATATCGCGGGATCACCTGAGCTTTCGCAAGTGCGAACCTGTAACCCGTAGATTACACCCTTCGTACACATGCAAGAACGTTAATGCATAAAGTGTTGCTTGTGTTAAACAGATGTTGATCGTTGATTTTTAATTATGCGACTGGGTGTGCGTATATATTTACACAAAATCTGAAATAAAATTTTATGCGTGTGTACGTACGTACACACACGTACGTGTGTGTACGCACGTTGTGCGAAAGTGTTATAAACTAAAGCGCAGACATCTGTTACCGATCACTTTCTACTCGTGGACTCAACCGTTTACTCAGGTGCTCGGGTTCGAGATCTGGGAAAGGGTTATACGTTCCGGATAAGAGAGCACGTTTCCGATGTGTTAAAGCATCTCAATGGAATCGTTGATGAACACCGGATTAGTAATGCAATTACGAATAATCGCAAGCCAAAACAACGTACGCTCATATGGAAACCGACTGTACCGTCTAAAAATGCCCATAAAGTGTACAGAAGTAAAAACAAGAATTGTGATTGTGGAAAAGCTGACTTACGTTATGAACGTGGCCCAATATAAACGGTTTATTTGGATCCTCCTGTTTCAACATATATCTGACGTTTTCCATCACAATGTAAGTGTCAAAATCCGCCTTGAGATAAAACGATTGTTCGTCCTTTTGTTCATAAAGTGCACGTAGTGTGGTGCGCATGGTGTTCCACGATCTGCGCTTGTATTTACGATCACTGTGTTTTGCGTCTGTTGCGGAGTGAAATGGGTATGCTTGATAAGACATCGGGAATGATGCGTCACTGGATCGTAGACTTAAGAAACGCGAAGATATACCAAAGCAACATTACGGTAATGCAGAGCAACACATAGGTAAGTGCACTCCAGTGCTGTGTATTATTAACGACACTGTATATCCAGTGTATTAGGCAGTTTCTAGCCAACAATCCGTATGGTCAAATTGGAAACAAAAGCAGATCAGTTAGGGTAAGAGGTTGCAAGCTAGTTTAGATGTAGTGTTGTAAGTGTAGTGTAGTGTTGTAAGTTCTATTGCATTAGAAGCTTTCTGTGATTGCAAGGCAGGTGATCGAATGCATGAGAACAAAGATAGGAAAATCCAAAGCCTGGTTGGATAGCCTTCATTAGGAGGCGGTGTAGTTGGCGCAGTTAATAAACTGTGGTAAGTGCACTGAGGCAGTAGTTGTTTTGACACTCTTCGTCAAAGAGATTATAATGATGACAGTGATAATAATAACAATAATAGTCCAAGAGCAATAAGCGAGAATTTGAAAAGTCGGATGGAATGCTCAAGACTCCGGAATGGGGAGCACTGGTGACTTTCTGACTGCGCCATATACCGTAGAGTATCCAACCACTGTTGTGTCCGATCCCGAGGACCCCAAACAGGAAGATGACAAGCAGCAACCCGACTTAGCTTTCTGGTGAGATTTTTCAAGCACTTACCATTTTGGGAGTGGACGAAGTTGGTTGATAAGCCAAAAAAGAGTACGCGGAAAATGAGAAAAAGTAATAGGAAAGTAAACAAGTTATCGATACTGAATATATAATCCGCATTGTCAAAGCAAAGCAGAAAGTGACGGCAACGTGATGCGATCGATTCTGGTCATAAAAGAGCACCAGCAGTACACCAGAACACCATACGGACGCTTCCCAGCCGCACGATCTCCACCAGCTGTGCGCGTGCTAGGGATGATACAAAATCGCACGCACCTGTGGTGGCCATTGGAGTACAAAGTAAGCGCCTTAAACCAACCGACCATTGGTCGATGCAAGGTGAGATTAAAAGGTATCACAGCTGTAAAGGCAAATCCTATGATAACTGAGCCAATGCGGCAGCGTATGCTGACGCGAAGCAATAAACAAAGAGAAGGATTGTGGACGAGCCAATGAAGCTCATGCCATTATGAAAGAACAGGACCGAGAGTACACAAGGTGAAAATGAACGGAATGCTAATAAGTGAGCGAAGGATGAACTGACGGCCAAAAGAAAGACGGAGAATGACAGCCGCTATCTAGTCGCTAGTCCCAAGCAATGTTCATAATCCATTTTACAATACACTTGCTCCACCCTCACTTCGGTTTAACCTCCTCGGTTTTACCAGTATTTCTGTTGGGTTTTAATGGTCGTGTGAAATGAATTCTGATGTTTGGAAAGAAGCCAACAAAATACGACAGCGAATTCGACAAAGCGCTCAACTAGAAGCGCTGTTCAGTGACCTGTGATGCTAAATAAAATCCCTGAGATTAGTGACGGCTTCGTTCCACAATGTAAGCGCAATAGCTTAATTGTTTTTGTTTTGGGACACCTGATTTAGAGAAAGAACTTAACGTTGAGTGCCATCTTACAGTGGAACGTGATATCACGCAAATCGCGGTAATACGCAATGCAGACGTGTGAGGTACAACAGCGTAACGGTGCCACGGATGCTACAGAAAGGGAACGGAATGGCGCGAAGAGGAGCGGATAAAGTCCGTAGATGATATATTTTTCTGCTATTGCATGTTAACTGTGTGAACGCTCACAATCATAGTAAGCATGATATTCGCAGAAAAGTTGTTCATCGATGGAAAGGTATCACGCGCGTTATTTAAAAATTCCTAAGTGATCCATGCATAGAAGCAGAGCTGGATCATCCACGAAAGACGAGAGCGTGCAGTGAGCCCAGAAAAAAACGTTCCTTCATAGAAGCACAAAATAGTTACCACAATGGGCGTTGCAACAGAAGGCAAGCAAATTGAAACAAATGTAAATGAGTTATTATGGACCAGTCAAATGCAGAGAAAGCTCGCCTAATTAAGATGTGTCGAACTCACCAAGTATTCGCAGTAGTTTGTCGTTGCCATGTGTCACAAAACCGTATCGAGTACATCTTCTGACCCAGGTATTTTGGACATGGTACTGTGACTTGAACTGAGACGGTTCGGTTAATATAAAGCAATAAATATGAATGGTGCTAGCCAGATTCTTGGCATAGCTCAAATCAACTAAAACACAGTAAAGCTCCAAAGTATTGCTCCATACCAGTTCCAAAGTAAGAAGGCTGAGGTTTCAGATTATCACGACCATTAATGGAGCAATCGGAAGAGTATCGAGCGGTGTCAATTATAATTTCTACCATAAACACCAAAAACATTCCGATTAGAAAGGCTTTCACATCCTGCAGCTTTACACCACAGCTCTAGAAAACCGTAAACGGAAATCAAATCTGGCTTACGCAACGATTGAGAGGAAGCATACACGATGGCTCGTGGATCGGAACGGTGGATGATTCAAAATTCCAAACTGAGGGATCTCTGGAAAAAAAGTAGCAGCATTAAGAAATCTGATAGTTTCAGTGAACATCACTGTATGGAAAGCGCACTACGAAAAAGTTGAATCTTCGAACCTCAGTTTTTTGATGGTAATGTTCAGGTGGTATTGTAGTGAAATGCAAACAGCAAGAAAGTACTCCGATACAAGCGCATCAAATAATGTGGACCAAAGGACCAAATGGAAGCTATCGCGGGTACGTTATCATCGGTTACCGCCGAATTCGCGAAGCTGGAAGCAGCAAGCATGGGATTACATAGTTTAGAGAAGTGTCAAAGTAGCCAATGTTACTCTCATACTTTCGTACGCATTCCAAATGACAATAAACCAGCAAGACCGAAACGAGGGAAAAACAGGTTAATAGAAGCTAAAGACACGACAGAAAGAGTGTAAATATTCAGCAAGGCCTAGCCAGGGAAGAAATACAATATTCAGATGTCAAGAAAGACAAAAACGAAAAAATCATAAGCCTATTTGAGATGGCTTTATGCAAGCAAGAGAATCGTGCTGAAGGGACATAATCGTGCAAATGTGTGCCGAGAACGGGATATCTCTAAATAGCACCGCTGACAAGTGCATTTGGGGCTCCTAGAACGTCGCCAGTCCTCCTCGACAACTGTCTTGACGCAAGGCAAACGGTTGCCCCCGACTTGCAACTGGAAAGCTGCCTTTGCTCAGTTACATATATATATACATATATATATATATATATATATATATATATATATATATGTATATATATATATGTACATATTTGGTTGACGACATCCGGTTCCGGATTTGCCTGTCACTGTGGCCAGCCACAGTACGCCTGCGTCTACAGAGGGACCATGGGTGGCTTGCGCTGCACCACCCACAGCTTCAACCACACACACCCCATATCCAGTGTAAACCCGAAGGAATAAGACGGGGAGACATGTGGATGGGAGTCACATTTCATTTCAAAGGCAAACACGCTGTATTTGGGGAATCAATCACACACAAGGCGGTGGCTGGACCGTAATCCGCTCCACACAGATTGCATGGAACCACTCTTCGAGCCTAACACGGCCACAAGGACCGTGCACCTCGTCCCCTCCAGCATCGAGCAACTGTCTCCTAGAGGCAGTATGGACGAGCTAGTAGGTAACAGACAGGTAGGCACCTTGTCAACATGCACATCAAGCGCAGCCACTCCGAGGATATCAATCAACAGCCAATCACTTGAAACGACAAGATAAATAAACTAAAGCGCATAATGCATAAAGGTACGGAGATATAACTCTTCACTTAACAGGCGTACAAAAATTGATTACAGAGGAGTCCGCGATAAGTTCAAGAAGTCAGAAAATATATGTTAAGAAAATAGCACAGACGCGAAACGTTATCGAAATTAACTACAATTAACTTCAGCAACGTGTGCACGTCTATAGAAGATATTTTAGGTAGAGAAAAGCATTCGGACAACATAGAAAACCCACTAGCTGAAATAAAGAGACTCGGCATGCAATCACGCGGTTAGTAAATCGAATGCAGCGTACCTACAAACGCTGCGCCCGTTCTGCCTACGTTCTCTGCAGGATCCGTCGTCGCTTCGGTGGTGGTCCCGAGTGGCCTCGCTCATGGTTCACTAGGCCTGCCTAACTCAGGCACTCGTGATCGCATGTGCCACAGCACCATGCGCTCGATGTCGAGGGAGTACATCCCATCGGTGCTTGCCGCTTCTTCTCCGCATGCATGAGGGCTTTCTCTCGCACTTCGGCAAATGCCTTCGTGATTAGATCGCGCCATGCACGCCGATCAACCGCCTTCGATTCCCATGACCTGCCATCAAGATTAGAACGTGGGAGGCTCGCTTTGACCATGTGTTGGTAGCGAAACTTTGGCTTCCCTACATGCCGCTTCCCAATATTCAGCTGACTATATAATAGTTGTTTCGGTATCCGTGTCGAATCCATACGGCTCACATGGCAGAGCCACCTCAGGTGTCTCAGCGAAAGTATGCAGTCCACTGCACACATACCACTTCGACGCAACACTTCCGCGTCTGCAACTCTGTCGCCCATCCGATGCGCATAATCCGTAGCAAACACCGTTGTTGGAACCGCTCGAGATATTGTATATTTCGCCGGCACATTGTCCAGGTTTCACTGCCGTATAGAAGAACGGACAGCACCATGGATTGATGCATTATCAGCTTGGTTCCAACGCTAAGCTTATGGTTGTTCCACATTCGGTACTCTAGCTTCCCGAATGCCGCCGCTGCCTTCGACACGCGGATGCGCAGCTCACTGTGCAGCTGCTGATTAGTCGACATCACACTCCCAACGTAGCAGAAGCAGGAGGTGGTTTCCAATACTTCAGCACCAATGCTGATTCGCGGCAATATTGAAGATTGCACCTCCGGTGAAGGCTGAAAGAGAAAAACAGTTTTGCTTGTGTTGATGGTGAGCCCGAATTTGACCGCTGCCGAAGCCAGAACACCAGTCATGTGCTGCAACTCATCCGCACTGTGTGAAAACAACGCACAGTCGTCAGCAAACAGCAACATACGGATAGTTGTCTCACAAACTAGAGTTCTCGCACCGAAACGACGGATGTTCAGCAACCCACCATCAATATGACGCTCCACACGAACACCGTAAACACAAGCGGCATCAAAAGCACAAGACAACATTGCATGAAGATATATATAAACAGGGCAGGAGTTAAGACACCGCCTTGCTTCACACCAGTGACAACTGCAAAGTCATCAGAGGTCTCTCCACTCAGGTACACCCTTGCCCGCATACCACTGTGCAGACCTTCAATTAAACTTACAAACTTACGCGGGCAACCAAACTTACCCAACACCAGTCAAAATGCCTCGCGGTTCACCGTATTAAATGAATTGGTGAAATCAACAAAAAGCGAATACAACGGCTGGTGTCACTCTCCGCACTTCTACTGCAGCTGTCGAGCTGCAAACACCATAGCTATAGTACTGCGACCCGAACGGAATCCACACTGCTCTTACGCCACGTTAGGTTCCACAACCTGACTAATGAGGCGGTTGAGCAGGATTTGGGCAAGCACCTTGTCAACGCAACTCAGCAAATTGATGTCACAACAATTCGTACGATATTGCTTGCTCCCTCTGCCCTTGTACACTGGTAGCACAAGGGCATCTTTTAGCTCAGGAGGCACCTCATCCTCAATCCATACACGTTGCACTAAGCGGTGCACCGCAATCACCGACGCAGATCCGCCGTGTTTTAATACTTCAGGCGGGATCCCGTCAACACCGGCACACTTGCCGTTTCGCAGCTGAGCAAGTGCTCCCCGCATCTCATTCAGTGTCGGCGTGTCTGCTATACTCGCATTCACATCGTGCTGCTCGAGGCCGTTCAAGGTAGGCCAGTCGATCTCTCAATGGTTGTTCAAGATCTGTATTATGTCTGCAGTCTGTGTGCAGATAGCGCCTGAAATACCATCGATCAGCGTCCTCAGCGGCACTAATCTAGGTCCATACACCGTCTTCAAGAAGTCAAAGAATTCCTAGTGTTGGCGGCGTTCGGCATAGCATTCCATTTACTTCGCCTTCTCCGTCCACCATGCATTTTTAATGCGACGGAGCTCGCGACTTACTCACCGTCGAAGTTTGCGAAACTGACACTTCTTCCACAAGTCACTGCGGTCCGCCATTTGTGCCGCAAACGCTGAATTCTTTTCCGACACCAATGCGACAATCGTCGCATTGTTCTCATCAAACCAATAAGACCGCTTAGTTTGCGCGCCCGATGGTCTTCTCGGCAGCAGCTGTCACCTGGTCGCGAATGTGATGCCACAGGTCGCCCACTGTGGCTATGCAGTCCACATCGCACAGGCGTGCAGCCATCGCTTTCTCCAGCTCAATACGTTTCTCCACAGTACTGAGGGAGAGAATGTTAAATTTACGCCGATTAACGGCGGGAGTGCAATACATTGATTTACGAAAATATATGCATGGTTTGATTCGCATCAATTTGTGATCAGTGTCAAACTTAGCTCCACGCAGTACACGTGTCATGCGCACTTCACGTATATCACGCTGACGTACGATGACATAGTCGAGCAGGTGAGCGTGACCACTCCGTGGGTGCGTCCAAGTTGCTATATCACTCGCACTCAGTGCAAACCGAGTGTTCGTGATCGTTTGGCCGTGAGTGACACACAGTGAAAGAAGCCCGACACCGATCGCATTTGCTGAACCAAGGCCATACGGATCGATGACGTCTATCCACACCGATGCATCACGCCCAATACGCGCTTTGAAAGCACCCCGCAGAAATGGTTGGTCACTCCTCGGCACAGACCGTATCACAGAGGATAGCTGAGTATAGAATTGATTACGCGTGTCATCAGGATAACACATGGTCGGACCGTACGTGCTTATAAAAGTAGCAAACTTACCTCTTCCGAGTCGTAGGCGAACAGTCATCAGTCGTGCGCTGATGCCTGTGGGTTTGCCCACGAGCTGGCGATCGGATATTGCAACTCCGACCCCATGATCACGTGGTGCTGGGGCGGCGTTGCCCACCCATTAAAATGTGTAGCCCGAACCTGCTTCATGCAAATTACCTTGCTTAGCGTGCCGGGTTTCGCTGAGCGCCGCAATATCGATGAGGTAGCGCGCCAGTTCCATCGCGACGAGTGCAGTGCGTCGCTCGGGGCGTTCACTGGAGTTCCGGTCCAGTAGTGTGAGTACGTTCCAGCATCCGATGCTGAGTGCTTTGCGCGCAGGCATACGAGTGCATTGGTGGGCAATAGCACGCGAGGTGGCGGGTGTGTTTCTGAGGTTTGTTTGAGGGACTCCACCCGGAGCCTTTGGCTCAATAGCCAGAACCACAAGGCAGTGAATGATTTGGAGGTTTGCTTGAGGGACTCTGTCCGGAGCCTTTGGCTCAAAAGCCTGACCCACAAGGCAGTGGGGAGCAGATCCAGCTCAGGAATGTGATTGCAGAGACAGATTGGGATCTGCTTGA